AGCAGCAACAGCTGCAGCAGCAACAGCTGCAGCAGCAACAGCTGCAGCAGCAACAGCTGCAGCAGCAACAGCTGCAGCAGCAACAGCTGCAGCACTGCAGCAACAACAGCTGCAGCACTGCAGCAGCAACAACAGCTGCAGCAGCAACAACAGCTGCAGCAGCAACAACAGCTGCAGCAACAACAACAGCTGCAGCAGCAAGAACAGCTGCAGCAGCAACAACAGCAGTGGCAGCAGCAACACCTTCGGCAGCAGCAATGGCTTCGGCAGCAGCAGCTGCTGCAGCAGCAACAACAGCTGCGGCAGCAACAGCAGCTGCAGCAGCAACAAAAGCTGCAGCAGCAACAAGAGGTGCTGCGGCAACAACAGCTGCAGCAGCAGCAACAGCTGCAGCAGCGGAAACCAGCTGCTCGTGCTCGCCGTTGGGCGGCGAGGCCCGTGCTGCAGCAGCAGCTGCAGCAGCTAGCTGCTGCAGCAGCAAACCAAGAAGGCAAATGAGAAGGGAAATAAATAAATAAATAAAAATGCAGCAAACGAGTTGGGAGGGGCTGTTGCTGCTGCCGGCTGCCAAGACACCGAGACCCGCCGCTGCTGCAGCAGCAGCAGCAGCAGAGCAGCTGCTGCTGCTAGTGCTGCTGCTGCTGCTGCGTGGGCCCCCAGGCGGGGCCCCCCAGAGCCTTCGCCACCACTCTGTGTGTCTCTGGCTTTAAATAAATAAATAAAAAGCTTTTTAGTTTTGATTTTTGAGGTGTATAGACAGCTGAATGGGCAGCAGTCCCGCTGGCTGCTGCTGCGGTGTCCGTACACCTGAAATTAGCTGGGCCTCGAGACAGCCTGCAGCAGCAGCAGCAGCAGCAGCAGCAGCAGACAGCTGGTGACAAGCCCGCCCTGCGTTGCCCCGTTTCTAGAAGCCGCAGCTGCAGCGCACTCGTGCTCGGCTGCTGCTGCTGCTGCTGCAGCTCGCCGCTGCTGCTGCTGCACCTGCTGCAGCTGCTGCAGCGCGCTGCTGCTGCTGCGGCAAGCTGCTGCCAGCAGCAGCAGCAAAACCCAGGCGAGCAGGGGGGGTCCACTCGAGCCAAAAAGGACCCCCCCGGAGATGCAGGGCAGCAGCGGCGCTGCTGACCAGCAGCAACTGCAGCAGCAGCAGGAAGTGCTGAGACCGCAGCAACCGCAGCAGCAACAGGGGCCAAAGCAGCAGCAGCAGCAGCAGCAGCAGGACACGGGCTGCCCGGCCCGATGGGCAGTTCTGCTGACAGTGTTGGAGGTATTCCCTGCTCATTTCAGGTTCGCCTGAGTTTGCTGCTGCTGCTGCTGCTGCTGCTGCTGCTGCGTCTCGCATTCCCTTTGCTGCTGCTGCCCTTTCCTGTTTCTGCGTCTGTTTGCTGCTGGTGCTGCTACAAGCTGCGCCGCTGCAGTTGCCGGCACATCTGCTGCTGCTGCCGCACGCTGTGCTGCTGCGCCTGCTGCAGCAGCAGCAGCTGCTGCTGCTCTTGCACTGCTGCTGCTGCTGCTGCTGCTGCTGCGCTGCAGCATCGGCGCGTACGTGGACCTGCTGACCTCGCAGCTGGGCCGCAGGGTCTACCTCTCGCAGTCTTGCCACGAAGTCTTGGCTTCCTTTTTTTGTTTGCTGTCTTGTGCTGCTGTGTCTCGTGTTGCTGCTGCTCGCCCGGAGCAGCGCCGCAACTTGCTGCTGCTGCTCGCCCTCTGCAGCAGCCTCCCCATGTTTGCTGCTGTCTTCACCCACAGCGCCAGAGCCTACTTGGCCTGCAAGTCAGCCTCCTCCTGCTGCTGCTGCTGCTGCTGCTGCTCCTGCTGCTGCTGCTGCTGCTGCTGCTGCTGCTTCGCATCTCAAGGCTTTTTATTTTTTCTCTTAATTGCCTTTGGAGGCTTCATATGACCGTGAGGGGCGCTGGATGCTGCAGCAGCAGCAGCAGCAGCAGCAGAAACGGCGCAGCTGCTGCTGCATATCCACCGTACACACCTGCTGCTGCTGCTGCTGCTGCTGCTGCTGCTGCTGCTGTTGCAGGGTTATAGCCGCTTTACTCGGAGGGAAGCCGCTGACTGGGTCGTTTGTGGTGCGCCCCCACTTCGTGCAAACCCTAAACCCTAATTCTAAACCCTAATCCTGAACTTCGTGCAAACCCTAAACCCTAAACCCTAATTCTAAACCCTAATCCCAAACCCTAGCCAGACGTGGCGCTTCTTTTCAAGCCAAAACTCAAACCCTAAGAGGCGCCGTAGAGGGCCCTGGCAGCAGCAATTTCTGTTTAGAGGGTTTAGGGTTTAGGGTTTAGGGTTTAGGGTTAACGGGTGGGGTTTGAGTTGCTGCTGCAGGTTCTCTCTTCGTGGATTGGAGGTGAGGGCGATGCTGCAGCTGCTGCTGCTGCTCTTGCTGCTGCTGCTGCTGCTGTTGCTGCCAGCACTTGCGTTTGTATGGCCGACAAGAAGCTGCTTTTGGCCCCTTTGCGCAGTGCGGCTTGGCAAAGACGCCGAGGGCTTAGGGTTTAGGGTTTAGGGTTTAGGGTTTAGGGTTTAGGGTTTAGGGTTTAGGGTTTAGGGTTTTAGAGGATTGTTTGGTTGCAGAATGGAACGACGTAAAGCAGAGGGTGGCCTGGTAAGGCTCAAGTCTTTTCCTGCTGCAGCCGCTGCTGCTGCTGCTGTTGGTGCTGCTGCTGGTGTGGGGTGTTTTACTTCTCGTAGCGTTGACTGCAGCAGCAGCAGCAGCAGCAGCAGCAGCAGCAGCAGCAGTTGGCGCTGCTGCTTGTGCTTGCGCCTTGATGCAGCTTCTCATCCGTCTATGCTGCTGTTAGCGGATCGCTGCTTTTGGGTGAGCCCACTGTTGCTGCTGCTGCCGTTGCTACTGCTGCTGCTGCTGCTGCTGCTGCCGTTGCCGGTGCTGCTGTCGCTGCTGCTGCCGCTGCTGTTGCCATTGCTGCTGCTGCTGCTGCGGCTCGTGCTGCTGTTGCGGACCATGGCGACACGGGGCTAAGTGGGTGAATGGCTTTGAGACTGTGAATTCCCTGTGGATCCCTGCTGCTGCTGCTGCTGCTGCTGCTGTTGCTGCTGCAGGCAGTTTGGCTGGCGGTGTATTTCTTCGTGTGACACAAAGCCCAGAGGCGTTGATGCTGGTGGCAGCTTTGCTGCGGCTGCTGCACCCGTTGGCGCTGCTGCTGAGCCCCATAAGCAGCAGGCCGCCGCCGCAGCAGCAGCAGCAGCAACAACAGCAGCAGCAGCAGCAGTCCCCGAAGCAGGAGCAGCAGCAGTTCCTCGAAGAAGTAGACACCCCAACTTTGTGGCCTGCAGATGGTCTCTCTGTGCTGTCTCTCCGTCGAGCGACAAGTTTTTCAGCAGGGGGTGGCAGCGGCTCCCCTGCTGCTGCTGCTGCTGCAGCTGCTGCTGCTGCTGCTGCGCAGCAGCAGCAGCAGCAGCAGCCGCTGCGCTTCTCCGCCTCACTTCCCGACATGAGCTCCTGCTGCGCCCTCGACGCAGCGCCTGTTCGTGCTGCGCTGCAGAAGCAAACAGAAGAGGGGATGCCGCTGCTGCCTTCGATAGCGGAAGACTCCGCTGTTGTTGCTGCAGCACCTGCTGCTGCTGCTGCTGCTGCTGCTGCTGCTGGGGGCGGTGCTGCTGAAGGCAGCGGCGCAGAGAAGCCGCGGCTGGGCCTGCAGGGCGTTGCTGCTGCAGCAGGGAAGCTGCTGCAGGCGCTGGCGCTGCACGTGATGCTTGTGGGTGCAACATTTCGTTTGCTGCTGCAGCAGCAGCCCCTCGTGCTGCTGCTGACTTGCATGCACTGTTCCTTCAATGCAGCAATGCAGGGAACTTCTTTGGCCTTCGTCAAGCACCAGCTCCGCTTCACTCACGACCAGGTACCCCAACGCTGCTGCTGCTGCTGCTGCTGCTGCTGCTGCTGCTCCTGTTGCACCTGCTCCTGTTGCTCCTGCTGCTGTTGCTGCTGCTCCTGCTGCTGCTCCTGCTGCTGCTCCTATGGGTGCTGTTGCTGTTGCTGCTGCTGCTTCTATGGGTGCTGCTGCTGTTGCTGCTGCTGCTCCTATGGGTGCTGCTGCTACTCCTACGAGTGCTGCTCCTCCTCCTACGGGTGCCGCTGCTGCTCCTGTAGGTGCTGCTGCTGCTGCTCCTCCTACGGGTGCTGCTGCTGCTGTTGCTGCTGCCCCTACGGGTGCTGCTGTTGCTGCTGCTGCTGCTCCAGCTTGTTGCTGCAAAGCCTTTGCGAGGGGAGATGTCTTGTTGCTGGCTGCCTGGAGAGCTAGCTAGCTGGGCAAGTGTGCAGCAGCCGGCGCAGCTAGCCAAGCAGCTAGCTGCGAGAACCCCGGGCAGTCTGCGTGGCTAGCAGCTAGCTAGCCACGGGGCAGCTAGCTGCTAGCTAGTGGGCAGCTAGCTGCTAGCTAGTGGGCAGCTAGCTGCTAGCCAATGGGTAGCTAGCTACTAGCTAATGAGCAGCTAGCTACTAGCTAATAGGCAGCTAGCTACTAGCTAATAGGCAGCTAGCTACTAGCCAGTGGGCAGCTAGCTACTAACCACGGGGAGCTAGCTGGTAGTTAAGGGACAGCTAGCTGCTAGCTAATAGGCAGCTAGCTACTAGCTAATGGGCAGCTAGCTGCTAGCCAAGTGGCAGCTAGCTGCTAGCCAAGTGGCAGCTAGCTGCTAGCCAATGGGCAGCTAGCTGCAGCTCCATAGCCAAAGGCCCCTGCGGATTGTTCTGCTGCAGGTCTCATTCATAATGACTACTTTTGGAGCAGCAGGCATCCTTGTGCAGGTAACATGCAAGAGCAGTAGCAGCAGCAGCAGCAGCAGCAGCAGCAGCAGCAACAGCAGCAGCAGCAGCAGCAGTGGGAGAAGCGGTCTGGAACTGTTGACATGGCGCAAAGTTCTTCAGGGCAGGGCCAGTAACCGCTACAGCAGCAGCAGAGTTGGCGCTGTAACCCACTCGCATCTGCTGCTGCTGTTGCTGCTGCTGCTGCTGCTGCTGTTGCTGCTGCTGCTGCTGCAGGTGGTCTTGCTGCCAATGGTGCTGCGCCACACCTCAACGCAGTGGCTGCTGTTCATCTGCAGCGCATGCAATGTGCTGTACGCGGGGCTTTTCGTGGTTGGGTGGGCCACAAACCCTTTTCTAAACCCTAAACCCTTTTCTAAACCCTAAACCCTCTTCTAAACCCTTTCCTAAACCCTAGATCGTTTTCTAAACCCCTTTTTTAACCCTAAACCCTCTTCTAAACCCCAAACCCTTTTCTAAACCCCAAACCCTTTTCTAAACGCTGAACCCTAAATCCTCTTCGAAACCCTAAACGCTTTTCTACACCCTAAACCCTTCTTAAACCCTAAACCCTCTTCTAAGCCCTAAACCCTTCTGTAAACCCTAAACCCTTCTGTAGACCCTAAACCCTCAGCCCCTATAACCCTTAAACCGTAAAACAATTTCGGCTGCCGAGTTGAGCTCAAATTGTTTTTAAAATTAATTTTTGAATTTTATTTTATTTCTAATTCCATTTAGTTGGGGTGTACGTACAGCACGTCTGCTTCCTGCATTTTCGTCGCCTGTTTGTTCGGCGCCCTCGCCAGCGCCTCTCGAGGTGCGGTTCCCCGTCGAGGGTTTAGGGTTTAGGGTTTAGGGTTTGGGGTTTGGGGTTTGGGGTTTAGGGTTTGGGGTTTAGGGTTTGGGGTTTGGGGTTTAGGGTTTAGGGGTTGGTTTTTAGGGCTGAGGGTCTGGTTCTTTGCTGTTGATTTGCTTGAGTTGTAGGCCAGTCAGGGTCTAGGGTTTAGGGTTTAGGGTTTAGGGTTTAGGGTTTAGAGCTGAGGGCAGCTGCAGAGTTGAGCGGCAGTTTCTCTTGTTTCATTTGCTGGCATTGAACTCTTTGTGGGAGTTTGTGTCAAATAAATATATTTGAATATTTCTAAAACATTTTTAGTGCATTTAAAATTCATAAAAAGATCCAAAAAGATCCAAATTAACTTCTGATACGCAGCGAGAGAAGCAAAAGCCACTTGCTGCTGCTGCTGCTGCTGCTGCTGCTGCTGCTGTTGGTGTGCGCAGGCTGCTTCCCGGCGTTGCTGAGCGAGAGCCCGAAGCAGCAGCAGCAGCCCGGCGCGGGCGGCCGCAGCCGCAGCAGCAGCAGCAGCAGCAGCAGCAGCAGCAGCAGCAGCAGCAGCAGCAGGGGGGTGGAGAGTCTGGTGCACAGCAGCTTCACGCTGATTCGTTTGCTGGCGAAGATTGTGGGGGCCACTCTAATGGCTGTCAGCAGCAACTCTTATGCTTCTTTGCCGCGGCCTTTGGCTTTTCCTGCTGTTGGTTTTGCTGCTGCAGCAGCAGCAATGGCCCTCAGCGCGGCCCTCGCGCTGCTGCTCGTGCTCCGCGCGCCCCACACAAGCCCCCCCAAACGCCCGTAGAAACCCTGCTGCTGCTGCTGCAGTGCTGCTGCTGCTGCTGCTGCAGGGCTGCTGCAGCTGCTGCTGCAATGCTGCTGCTGCAGTTGTTGCTGCAGTTGTTGCTGCAGCTGCTGCTGCAATGCTGCTGCTGCAGTTGTTGCTGCAGTTGTTGCTGCAGTTGCTGCTGCAGTGCCGCTGCTGCAGTTGTTGCTGCGGTGCTGCTGCGCTGCTGCTGCAGTTGCTGCTGCAGTGCTGCAGTTGCTGCTGCTGCAGCTGCTGCAGCACTGTCTTGAACCGCACTTGCAGACAGGCAGCTGCAAGTTGCTGCTGAACTTTCTTTAGACAAACAAATATGCCTTTGCCTTCAGCTCTTTGCACTTATAGAGCTTTATATATTTATATTTTATGTATATTTATTATATTTGTATATTTTAATATTTATATTTTGTATATAATTTATATATTTATATATTTATATTTTATATATATTTGTGTACTTATATATTTCAATATTTATAATTGATGTATATTTATAATATATATATTTCTGTATTTTAATGTTTATATTTTATATTATATATATATATATTTGTAAGTATAAAAATATGAAAAATATACAATACAAATATATATATATATATATTATATATATATATATATTTTAATATATATTTTCGTATTTTTATACTTACAAATTATATATTTGTTTATATTATATGCATTTATATATTTTGACATTTATATATCATATATGTATTTATATATATTTATATGCTATATAAATATTTATTATATGCAATGGATATATATATTCTTACAAATTATATATTACCACACATATATTTACTGCACAATTTGCATTACATATAGAATATATATAATATATATATTCTACATATATATTAATATACGTAATATATATATATATATTATATATTATATGTATGTTGATAAATACATTATATACATATTATATATCACATATATATATATATATATTTATTGTATATATATTATATATGTATAATGAATACAATATATATGTTACATATATAATACAAGTGAGCACTAAATAAACTTCATGCATTTATTGCATCACTTAAATATATTTCAGAGTCCCAAATATAAATAATTATTACAAATTTAGTAATCATTTATTTAACTTCTCGGGCTTTGTAAGGCAGCCCTGGCTGCGGTAGACTGCAGCACGCAGCAGCAGCAGCAGCAAGCAGCAGCAGCAGCATGCACGGGATGCGTTGCTGCTGCTGCTGCAGGAAAATGTACAGATGAGGTGGCGGCAAACTGCAGTCGAGGGCCTCCCTGCTGCTGCTGCATGCTGCTGCTGCTGCTGCTGCTGCTGCTGCTCTCGCTGCGTGCTGCTGCAGCAGCAGCAGTCCCTGCGGTGTCTGTACACCGTGCATGCTGCTGGCACCTACGACTGAAGCCCATCACTAATACTTTACTACAGCCCACTACAATCTGCAGCAGCAGCAGCAGCAGCAGCAGCAATAGCAGCAGCAGCAAGTGCAGCAGCAGCCAACATGTGCAGCAGCAGCAGCAGCAGCAGCAAGAGCAAGTGCAGCAGCAAATGCACTTAAAGGCGGGAAAGGTTGCAACTGCCGCGTGGGCAGCAGGTGAAACTCGGGCCCAGTTTAGCTGCTGCTGCTGCAGCGGCCGTGCTGCAGCGCCGGCGGGTCGGCAGCAGCAGCAAAAGGCTTTGCTTCTTTTTTGAATAAAAATCCCCATTTAAACAAATATAAATAAATATAAATAAATATAAATATATATAAACTTTATATATATAAAAGGAGCACTGCCGGGGTGTACGTACAGCTGCTGCCGACGGCGAGCGCGGCCCTGCTGCTGCCGCTGCTGCAGCAGCAGCAGCAGCACGAAACCAAATCAAATACGCTTAAACCGCTGCTGCTGCTGCCGGTACTCCTGCTGCTGCTGCTGCTGCTGCTGCTGCTGCTTAATCAACTGGTTCACTCGCCGAGCCCGCTGGTCTGCCATTGCATTGTTTGCATCTCTTGCTCTTTTATATCTGGGGTCATCCTGCAGCTCCTTGAGGACTTCGCCATATTTTCTCCGAGTTTCTGCATCTGGCTGCTGCTGCTGCTGCTGCTGCTGCTGCTGCCTGCGGCGCTTGCGGCGCGGCCCTTCTGTGCCGTCGTCGCCCTCGGCCTCCGAGAACTCGTCCGCGGGGGAAGCAGCAGCAGTGGAAGCAGCAGCAGCATCTGCTGCTGCTGCTGCTGCGTCTTTAACAGCTCCTGAAGGTCTTCGAAGACTCCGGGAGTCCGAGGCAGCAGCAGCAACGCCTCCCCCGAGAGCAGCTAGCAGCAAGACACTGCAGCAGAGCGCGAGAGCCAGGCAGGAGTTCAAGCGCGCCATGGTGGGCAAAAGAGAGGCTTTAAACGGAAAACTTTGGAAAACAATTAAATAAATTAAATTAATTTTAAATTAATATTCTAAAAACCGAAAAGAAAACAAAAATGCGCTCCAGAAAACCCCAGAAGCAGCGGCGAGTCTCACGGCACCGGACCAAAAGCAGGGGGGCCACCGCGCGCGCTGCTGCTGCTGCTGCTGCTGCTGCGGGTGCGAGCGCCGGCCTCCCGCCGCGCTGGAAAGATTAAAAAGCTGTTTAATGTTTTGAAAGTAATAATTGAATTTATAGAAAGAAAAAAAAGATTTATTTCGCGGGAAATTAGCGCAGCAGCAGCGCAGACGCAGAAACAGCAGCAAGACCTGCTTCCCCAGCTCCCACGGGGCTCCCCAGTGCCCCTTTTGCTTTCTTTCTTCTTTCCTTTTTATCTTTTTATATTTAAATTTAACTTGTTGCATTTAAAGACCAAATAGCAGCAGCAGCAGCGCGTGCACATTGCCCAGCAGCAGCAGCAGCAGCAGCAGCAGCAGGAGGTCGTGTTCAATGCTAGGGGCCACGCCTCCCAGCTGCGCGGCTGCGCGTCTCCTTTGCGAATCTTTTAATTATTTTTTTAATTATTTCTGATCAAATTTATAAATTATATTTCGTTTCGCGTTCATAAAAGGGGTATTTAGCCGGGGCGGCCCCCTCGGCGCAGTGGACCGTTGCCAGCCGGTCCCGAGGCCGACGCAGACTCGCGGCTCGACAAAAGTCTTACTTTTTTTGCTTCTTTTTCTTTAATCTTTGATTCAAAACTCAAAAGATTGAAAGTTTTCAAAAGGTGGTACTTTAAAAACGAAATTAAAAAGGAATTTGAAGCGACGAGGGCCCGGCTCTCCTGCGCGACGCTTGCACGGGGTGCAGCAGCGATCCCGCGGAAACTTGGGGGAAACTTGAATAGAAATAATTCCCAGTGTTTCTCCTTTATCCAAAAGTGTCATTTAAATTAAATTAATTTCAAATGAGGCAAAAAAGGCCGCTGGAAAGGGCCAGCTTTGCTTTCCTGGAGTTCAATGAAGTGCTGCTGCAGCAGAGGCAGCGCCAGTGCCACTCAGGCTGCTTTTCTTTAACTTTCTGTTATATCTCTTTTGAATTTTGCTGCTGCTTTATCCCTTTTTAATTTTGCTGCTGCTTTACAGCTTTTAAACTTTGCTGCTGCTGTGTGCTGCCTCCACCTCTAGCTGTATATAGCTGCAGCTGCAGCAGCTGCAGCAGCTGCTGCTGCAGCAGACTCAGCAGGTGCTTGCAATAAGACTACTTTGGAAAGAAGAAAAGTGCAAATTTATAAAAGTGCCAATAAGCCAGTTCAAGAGTTTGCAGCGCTGCAGCAGCAGAGGTGTCTATACACCTGAAATGATGCTGCAGCTGCTTCCGTAGCAGCAGAATGAAAGCCCCGAAGGGGAAAAAGACAAAATATATTTGCTGCTGCATCTTTCCTCACAAGAAGCAGCTTTAGCCAGCAGCAGAGCAGCAGCAGATTGCAGAGAGCAGCAAAAGGCTAGCCATCTGCCAGCAGCAAAAGGGGAGCCACAAGCTAAAATCAGCTGCTGCTGCTGCTGCTGCTGCTGCTGCTGAGGTTGCTGCTGCTGAGGTTGCTGCTGCTGAGGCTGCTGCTGCTGAGGCTGCTGCTGTTTCGGATAGACACCGAAACAAAATGCTGCTGCCAGTGCTGCTGCTGCTGCCTCAGATGCAACGTAAAACCAGGTGCTGCTGCTGCTGCTGCTGAAGCTGCTGCCACCTCGTTCACAAACTGAATTCGAATGCTGCTGCTGCTGCTGCTGCTGCTGCTGCTGAGATTGCAGCCGCTCTCGCTTCCTGGTTGCTGCTGCCTAGCAGCTATTTGAGTTTTGAAATGTTTTCCCTTTTTGTGTTATTTCTGTTTTATAAATCATAAAAATATAAATAAATTTATTCCTTTTAATTTTCACAAATTATAAAAATGTAAATAAATTTATCTCTTTTAAAGAAGTGCCTTCATGACGCTATGCTGCTGAGGTGTACGTACACCTGAGCAGCTACACGAAGCAGAAAAGCACTTCGGCTCCAGCTGCTGCTCTTTCCTCCCATTCTCGTAGCCAGCAGCAGCAGCAGCAGCAGCAGCAGCAGCAGCAGCAAACAGGGTATTCTGCTGCTGCTGCTGCGGAGCTTTATGCTCCTGAAAACGCATGCAGCAGCAGCGCTCATGGGGCCCCTGCTGCCACTGGGGGCTCCAGCGCACCTTGGCAGCAGGTGCTCGGGGTGCAGCAGCAGCTGCTGCAGCAGCTGCAGCAGCTGCAGCAGCAGCTGCTGCAGCAGCTGCTGCTGCTTTAGTGCCCCGTTGGGGGCCCCAGGCTTAGACTGAAGGGGGCCTCCGGCCAGCTAGCTGCTCCCCTTGCCCGCAGCTACTGCTAGTTGTTTGCTGCTGCTGCTGCTGCTGCTGCTGCTGCTGCAGCAACAAAGAAAGGGTCGCTGCGCTTCAAAAAACCCCCCGGCCCTCAGCTTTAGGCACGTTCATTTTCCCCTCACCGTTACCTAAACCCTAAACCCTAAACCCTAAACCCTAAACCCTAGTGCTGGAGAGCTTTAAGAGTTGAACCTAGCTTTGCTGCTTCAAAGGCTGGCACTTTTTCTCAATTTAAGTTGAGAGAAAAATAGGAAGCTGCTGCTGCTGCTCCTTTTCTCTTTCACCCTTTTGCCTGAAAGAAGACTAAAAGGCTGCTGCTGCTGCTGCTGCTGCTGCTGCTGCTGCTGCTGCTGCTGCTGCTTTTGCTTTTTACGTGCTTTTGCTACACCCAAATATGGGCCCTGCATCCGCCGGTCCATTTCCTCGCTCTTGCTGCTGCTTATTTATCTTTTTGCTGCTGCCTTCTTATTTGTTTGCTGCTGCCTTTTTATCTTTTTGCTGCTGCCTTTTTATCTTTTTGCTGCTGCGTCTTCATCTTTTTGCTGCTGCGTTTCATCTTTTTGCTGCAATTTTGATTGCAGGGAATTCTCTGTTCATGCCTCTTTTTCTGTCATTCATTTGCCCCTCTTTACCCTTTCTCAGTCCGCACATTATAGGCAGCAGCAAAAGTAGCAGCAGCAGTAGCAGCAGCAGCAGCAGCAGCAGCAGCAGCAGCAGCAGCAGCAGCAGCGCAGTGGCTCATCGAGCTGCAGCAAAGGAGCTGCGCAGTGGAAGGGCGCCGCATTCTCTTTCTTTTCATTTCTTTTTGCTTTTCAAAATTCATAATTTCAATTTTATCTCTTTGGATTATTTTTGTGTTCTTGCGCGCTTTCTGCTGCTGTTTCTCTTCCCCCCTTTGCTGCTGCTGCTGCTGCTGCTGCTGTTGCGGCTCGTGTCTTGCGCTGTTGCTGCCGCCAGCCTTATCTTTGCTGCTGATTCAGCAAATAAAATTGAATTGATTTGATTGTTTTACTATTTATTTTAATTTATTTGCTTTATCTACTTATCTGTTCTTATTTCAGGGAATTGCAGCTCAGCTTCCTCAGCTGAGTCCTGCAGCAGATCCATTGCACGTTTCTGCCTTCCCAGCTGGCCCAGGACAACTGAAATGCAATTTGAAAGTTCAAATAGACAAAACTTTTAATTCTTTTTGCATTTATTGCATTTATAATCCCAATGAAAAGTAACTAATCATGGAATTCAAGAGCTTCGGCCTGCGCCGTTCGCGCTGCAGGCGCCACACTGCTGCTGCTGCTCGCCGCCAGCTGCAGCGTGGCTGCAGCTGCAGCAACTAAGCTAGCCTTTAATAAAGCCATAAATAAATTACAAAATAATGCATTAATTTTAATTAATTAACAACACAGCGTGTGCAGCAACACCCACAGCTGCTCACAGCCTAGATCCGCTGGCTGAGCTTGCGGGGGGCCCCCCTGGGGCCCCCTAGGGCCCCTTAGGGGGCCCCCCGGGGGCCCCTTGGGGCCCCATGGAGGCCTCAAGCCCCTTTGCTCCCTTTGTTTGCCCTCATGGGCCTTAGCTCGAGCTGAGGTACCGTGAAGATGCTGCTGCTGCAGGCCAGGAAGTCGGCAGAAGCCAATGGAGGACTAGCAGCAACAGCAGCAGCAGCAGCAGCAGCAGCAGCACAAGCTCAGGGATGACTGCTCTGCCTCTCAGATGGGCCGTCCCGCTTCCCTCTATTATCTGCTGAAGAGGCGCACGTTGGCTGCTGACCCGTGGAGGCCACTAACTTGGTTTTGCTGCAGCAGCAGCAGCAGCAGCAGCATCGGAAGCAGCAGCAACTGCTGCAGCACGCGTTATGCAGCAGCTGGGAGCCTTCATAGACTCGCGTGGGGCTCGCAAGGGACGGGAAAGAGGGCGGGCAGCAGCAGTCTGGCATTAAGAGCTGTCTGTACACTTGCACAGCCAAATCTACCTGCAGCAGCAGCAGCAGCAGCAGCAGCAGCCGCAGCAGCGGCAGCAGCAGCAGATGCAGCTGCTACAGCTGCAGCTGCTGGAGAGCCCGCAGACGCAGCGAGGATTCCCCTCGTCAGTTTGCGTTTGGAGCTCACTAGAGCGCAGCAGCTGCTGCAGCAGCAGCAGCAACAGCAGCAGCAGCAGAAAGCTGCGCGGCCTTCTGCTCCGTCATTGGCAAACCCTACAGCTGCTGCTGCAATTGCTGCAGCCCTTGCTGCTGCCCGGAGCTTGCTGCAGCATCTGAAAAGGCGGCAGCAGCATGCACGCGCTAGGAGTCTGCAGCAGCGGCAGCAGCAGCAGCAGCAGCAGGCAGCGCTCAGCCGCACCGCAAGCAGCAGCAGCAGCAGCAGCAGCAGCAAGGACGTAAGCAGTGGCAGCAAATTAAGAAATGAAAATAAGAGCCTCACAGACAATTCAGATGAGCAGCAGCAGCTTTTAAAGTGCCTCAGTTTGCTGGCGGCAATCGTGAGAGAAGCTTCCCCCCACGGAGCAGCAGCAGCAGCAGCAGCAGCAGCAGCTGCTGCTGCTGCTGCTGCCCAAGAAGTTGCTGCAGTGCACGTGGAGTCCACGCGCGTCGGCGTGCTGCTGCTGCAGTGTTTGCTGCGCTGCGTAGAAGCCAAAAAGCTGGGGGTGGCTTCTTTGCTGCTGCACATTCAAGCAGCAGCAGACTCTCTAGCAGCAGCTGCTGCAGTGCAGACTCGTCTTAACAAGCTGCAGCAGGAGTTGCTGCAGCAGCTGCAGCAGCAGCAGCAGCAGCAGCAGCAGCTAACCGTTTGGATATGGCAGCAGCAGATCGAGCTAGCTGTTCTCTTAAAGAGAGCAATGCGGCTGTTTGCTGCTCTTCTTCCACCCGTTGCTGAATCCTGGCAGCAGCAGCAGCAGCAGCAAAAACAACAACAAAAGCGGCAGAAGCAGCAGCAACAGCAACAGCAGCAGCAGCAGCAACAACAACAGCAGGTGCACTGCCGATCAGGGCGGCAGAGGTCTCTGCATCCACAGACACAACTGAAGCAGCAGCAACAGCAGCAGCAGCAACAACCGCAGCAACAGCAGCGGCAGCAGCAGCAGGGGCAACAGCTGCCGTGCGGCGACGGTGCAGGAGCTCATCTGGCGGCTGCTGCTGCAGCTGCACGTGCTGCTGCACCTGCTGCTGCTGTTCTTGCTGCTGCTGCTGCTGCTGCCCCTTGTGCTGCCAGAGCTGGGGCCGCAGGACATGAAGCAGCACTTGTGTCTATCAAATGCTTCATAGTCAATGCGGCTCGCTTGGTGGAGCAGCGGTGGCAGCAGCAGCAGCAGCAGCAGCCGCAACAGCAGCAGCAGCAGCTGCAGCAGCAGCAGCAAACTAGCCTTCAGGGGCTCCCTAGTTCGGCCCAGCTGCCAGCAGGCGAAGTGCAGCCTCTTGCTGCGCCGGCAAGTCCTGCTGCACCTCAATATGTAGCTAGCAGCAAGCTGGCAGCAACTGCAGCAGCAAGGGAAGCCGCATCGCCGGCAGCAGCAGCGACAGCTGCTGCAGCACCTGCTGCTGCTGCGGACGCAGAGCTCAAACACCTCCCCGCGCTGCTGCTGTGGCTGCTGCCTTCTGTCTTCACCATAATGCAGCAAAGAAAAATGGCCCATATAGATGACCTGTGGCGTGCTGCTTCGCTGCTGGTCAAGCAGCAGCAGCAGCAACAGCAGCAGCAGCAGCAGCAGCAGCAACGGCAGCAGTGGTGCCTGCAGCAGCTTGATCTGCCCGAATTAAGTTTGCTGCTTATTGCGACGGCGCGGCTTTCTGCTCTGCAGCCGCCGCTGCATCAGAGCTGCGTAAAAGCCGAGCATTCATCTGCTGCTGCTGCTGCTGCTGCTGCTGCTGCTTGTAGGCTGCCGCTGCTGCAGCTGGCTGGCTGGTGTTCCTTGCGAGCAGCAGAGCTGCTCTCAGCTGGACGGTGCGTAGAAGACTCACGCTGTGCTGTTGCGCCCACGCTGCATCTGAGGCAGCAGCAGCAGCAGCAGCAGCAGCAGCAGCAGCAGAGCCAGAAGCGGGAAGGTGAGTGGCAGCAGCAGCAGCAGCTGCTGCTGCGGGCGCCGCGTCCCTGGTTCCGCCCGAGTTGCATTTTGCTGCTCGGCCTTACTCGCTGGCTGCAGCAACAGCAGCTGCTGCTTCCAGGCTGCTTGCTCAGCAGCAAAGTGCAGCATGCGCTGTGGGGTAAAGAGCTTGACGCGAGCAGGTGCAGCAGCACCAACAGCAACAGCAGCAGCAGCAGCAGCAGCAGCAGCACCAACGGAGAAAGTAGATTTAAGCAGGGCAGCGCAAACACATCAGATCTTGCTGCAGCGGCAGCACTGTTTCTCACAGCATTAGAAAGGCGCCTTCTTGCCGCAGATTGGCTCCAGCAGCAGCAGCAGCAGCAGCAGCAGCAGCAGCGCCTGCCGAAAAATGCGCATCGTTTCAGCCAAGGGCTTCCTTCAAGTCTGCCGACGGCACCGGGAGAAGCAGCAGCAGCAGCAGCAGCAGCAGCAACAGCAACAGCAAACGCGGCTTCAAGCTATTTATACGACTCGGTGCAACAGAATTTGCTAGCGACAGCAGCAGACTCAGCAGCAGCGAAACCAGCAGCAGCAGTTCCAGCAGCAGCAAATCCAGCAGCAGCAGACTCAGCACTAGCAGATTCTGCATCAGCCCAGCCACCCGCAGCAGAGCCAGCAGCAAGAGGCGCAGCAGCAGCAGAGCCAGCAGCAGCAAGTTTAGCAGCAGCAGAACCAGCAGAGGCACAGCCAGCAGCAGCAGCAGCAGCAAGAGAAAAAGTGCACATTTCTGGCCGCGATTTCGCGCTGCTGCTGCGCTGTTTAATCTCTGTGCGATTTCTTTCAAACAATTTGCTTCATAAAGCTTTGTGCTTCTTAGCAGCAAACCCCCCGGTGATACAACAGAAGCAGCAGCAGCAGCAGCAGCAGCAGCAGCAGCGCGAGAGGGGGGCTCTAGGGGATGTTGCTGCAACGGGGGAAGCAGGAGCTCCGCTGCTGCTCTCGCCTCAAGATGCTGCGCTGCTGCTGTGGGCCATCGGCACTGCTGCAGCTGCTGCACTGACTCCGCAGCAGCAGCAGCGCGTGAATGGCAGAGGCAGCTTCCTGTTCAGCGTCTTGCCGGCTTCAGCCAGCCCAAAGTTTGCTGCTGCTGCTGCAGCTCCCGTGGCAGCAGCAGCAGCAGCAGCTGCTGCTGCCGCTGCTGCCCCGCAGCAGGAAACGCTATCTGCAGAAGCAAAACACCAGCTCCGGATGCATCTGCGGCGTCTGGCGTCGCAGCTGCTGCTGAGCAGCAGTCTGGCGGGCCCTGGGTCGGCAGCAGCAGCACCTGAAGTCTCAGAAACCAGCAGCAGCAGCAGCAGCAGCAGCAGCAGCAGCAGCAGTGCAGACAGTCAAGCTGTGGCGAACGCGGTGTGGGGCCTCACCTGCTGCGGCTTGCTGCAGCACCGTCTGCTGAGGGCTTTCTCTGTTTCTCCCCCCTTTCGCTGCGGCTTCATGAGCAGCAGCAGCAGCACGGAAAGAAGGCAGCTGCTGCAGGCAGCGCTGCTGCTGCGGCTGCAGCGTGCAAGGGCTCCTGCTGCAGCAGCAGCTTTTGCCGGCGCTGCAGGGCCTGCTGCCTTAGAACAGATGCGGCAGGGTCAGCGCGCTGCTGCCAGCAGAGCAGCAGCTCTTCGCCGTTTCCCTGCAGCAGCAGCTGCTGCTGCAGCGAAGCTGCTGCCGCAGGCCAGCAGCGAACAAACAGTTTTAGAAGGAAAGACCATTCCTTGCAGCAGCTGCAACACAAAAGGAACAGGCAGCGCCGTGAGGTCTTCTTTGCTGCAGCAGCAAGTACTGCGGGAGCTGCAGCAGATGCTGCAACGTGCTGCTGCGGTGCTGCCGGCAGCAACCGGGAAAGCAACGGCGGCAGCAGCAAACGCAGCAGCAGCAGCAACGCAGCTTCCTTCTGCAGTTGAGGTTGTGCATGAGTGCGCTGTGGGGCATGGCCTACAAGTAGACATTGCACTCCTGGCGCCACAGCAGAAGAAGCAGCAGCAAACGTTGCAGCAGCAAACACAGCTGCAGCAATCTTCAGAGCAGCGTTTACAGCAGCAGCAGCAGCAGCAGCAAACCGGCACTTCTGGAGGCCGGTGTCACAGAAACTGCCGACGGCTTCGCATTGCCATTGAAGTCGACGGCCCCTCTCACTTCTTGCTGAGTGTGCAAGCGCCTGAAGTGGCCCACATTAACAGCAGCAGGTGCTGCAGTTCTAGTAGCAGCAGCAGCAGCAACAGCAGCAGCAGCGGTGCTGCAGTGGTCGAGCTCAGGTCTGACGGAGGCACAGCTCTGAAGCGCCGCCTGCTGCAGCTCTTAGGCTACAAAGTCGTGCAGATATGTTTCTTAGAGTGGCAGCAGTTGCAGGGGAGAAGAAAGGAGCAGCAGCAGCTGCTGCAGCAGCAGCCAGCGCTGCAGCAGCTGCTGCAGCAGCTGCAGCAGCAGCAATCGTCAGGGCTTGAAACCAGCTTATAAACCCTAGCAAATGAAGCAACGTTAAAAGCACAAAGTCCAGCACAGTCCCTAGAACAATTTTTTCTTTTTTATTTCTTAAAGCTGCCAATTCAAGACAGCGCAAAGTGCAGCAAAAGCGCCCCGGCTTTGCTGCTCGGAGTCTTTGTGGGAAGCAGACTTGAATTATCTTTTCGCCTAAGGGCTGCAGACCTCTAAATCTGTGCCTCCACGAGCAGCAATTTAGTTATTCAAGTTTCCTGCTGATTTCTTTTTGTGTATTTCGTGTATCTGCTTCTTGCTGCAGCTTCTTTTGCTTCTGCTGCTGTTTCCGCCACCCCGAGGAACTGTCTGTGCTGCCTGTCTTCTGCTCCCGAATTAACTTATCCAGAAAAGCATTTCGAAAACTAAATTTGAATAAATAGAACACAATTTGTTATAAAAGATGCAGAAAAAGACCATTCACAGCTGCAACTGCCGTTCAAGGCAGGGCAGTCTTTGCTTTGGCTTATGCAGGGTCATTCATCTTTTGAATTATTTCAACAAATTGAACAGAAAGGAAAACTTTAAGAATTCTCTACGCCACAACTCAGTACAGAAGGAGCGGGCACCCCATATTGTACTTGGACTCGAATTATGTGCAAGTTTTCGAGAAGACTGAAGTGTTGAAGCAAAAAAGCTCAGATCCAGAGCCACAGGATGAAGCCTTTGTGCTTGCTGCTGCTGCTTGCTGCTGCTGCTTGCTGCAGCTCTGCAGCTAGCCGAGCACCTAGCCTCGCAGCTAGCCAGCAAGCTGCAGCAGGACTTACAACTTCCAGCGAAACATATGCACTGCCATGCAGCAGAAGCTGCAAATGGCAGCTAGACGCAGAGCTAGCCACCCCGCAAACTAGCTAGCCACACAGCTAGCCACACAGCAAGGCCTGCAGCCCTCTGGATGCGCCGTTTTGTACATAACTTGAGCACAAGACAGCAGCAAGACTGCTGCAGGGCCCATGACCTGCTAACCCGAGCCCCCATGCAACAACTTAGAACAGCCTAGGCAGACACTGGATCGCCATTTTCGTTTCCTTTTCAAGACATTATGAATTTGAACTGCTATCCCTGGCCCCCACGATTCTAAAAAAGATCCTAGGCAGGCAGTAATTCTGCACTTAGGTCCACTTTAAGGTATTATGGAGTACGAAAGTCTAAAAGCTGCTGGCAGCAAGGCAGAGGCGGCCTCAGCTTGGCGAAACTGCCTCATTGTTCTGCCTCTGGAGCCCGATCTATACAGGCAAGCACATTAATGGGTTCAATTAAAATATATTTCTGCTTTTTTCTTCCTTCGGGCTTGCATTTTCGGGAAATTCGAACTGTTCATTTGAAGGGTACAGCGCGAGGCAGCGGGGCACGTGTGAGGCGCCTGCTCTCCTCTCCGTCTACTTCGCCGGTTTTAAGGACAATTTGTTGCAAATCACAAAGGAATTAAACATTTGTGCATTCGTTTGCAGTGATCTGCAGGAAAAATCAAAAGATAACGGCAGCCAGCAGCGCCAGAGTCCCCAAGGTCACTCACAGCCACACTGGGTGGGGGGCCCCAGCATCAGCGAGAAAGCCCGCAGTATCGTCTTCGTCTATCTTCAGGAATACTAAACAAAAATAACTTTAAATTTATTTATCTTCTTTCTCAATCAATTATCCATCGACGAGTAACGTTTTTGTCTCCACAGCAAGCGAAGGCGTGCATCTGCTAAAGCCGCATGCAGCTCCAGATATATTTCTTCATTTGTAGGAGTAGATAAGACCAAAAAGCACTAGAGAGAAGGCAAAAGTCACATGATCACACGGCCGCTGAAGCCCCCCAAGGTTTCCTCTTCTTCCCTCTCCCCTTCCCCTGTAGATTCAACTCTTGAGTTGAAATTTGCACAAGTCGAGGCGCCCCCACATAAGCAGCAAGGCAAGCGCATGCATGCATATGTCTGTGCAAACGCGCATGCAATTAGATCCTTACTTGCCAGCCCTGCAAGCCTATTCGCCTTCGCATGCAGCTCCTAATACGTGTGCAAGTGCAGCAAAGGCCCCACTCTCCCCTAGAAACTCCACAAAAAGCAAACAAATTAGCTGAACCCTCGAAGCTGCAGATCCCAAGGCCTGTGCAAACAGGCCCCTGCCCAGATGTGGGCAAACGCGCCTCATCTTTGGCTTCCGCCTGAGGGCTCTTTCGGCGCAACAGCAGCAGCAGCAGCAGCAGCAGCAGCAGCACTTTCTGTTCAGTTGGCTCCTCTTGACTTTCTGCAGCAGACTGTAGCTGCAGCGCAGGTGCCTCTGTAGGCCCTCTTAGTTTTTCAGATAAAGTGGCAGAGAATTCATTTGTTAGATAAAGTGGCAAAGGCCTCACAGGCGGGCAGTGGCTTTTCGGCTGCCCCCACACAGAGCAGCAGCAGAAGCAGCAGCAAAAGCCACAACAGCAGCAGCAGCAGCAGACCAGTTCCCTTGGAATATGGTGACACATAAGACTAACAAAAAGCAAAAGTGAACATAATGTCCCGGAATTCCTCTTCACCCCCAACCCTCTTTTCTATGAGCCTTTGAATTGTAGTATTACGGGTACGCCGCTGCTGCTCCTGCTGCTGCTGCTTCTGGTGCTGCCTCTGCTTTTGGCGCTGCTGCTGCTGTAGATAGGGTAGTGACCAGCCCTGCTGCTTTTCACAGCTGCTGGCCTTGCGGCGGCGCTGTCGTTGTTTGTGTTGCTGCTGCTGCTGCTGCTTCAGACATTCGGCATTCTTCTGCTGCCTTCCTATTCCATTGTTCTGAAAGCACTGTGCTGCTTGAAAGCAGCACAATGTCCCTGTGCTGCACGCAAGGCCAATGGCCGAAAGAGCAGCAGCAGCGGCAGCAGCAGCAAGGTCAGCATCTGCAGCACTGTCGGCAGTTGATCCATGGCTTGGCCCCCACAACAGGCCGCCTTGGCCACTGCTGCTGCTGCACGCAGCAAGCAGAAAGCTCGTGCTTGCTTAAGACTGGTGCCTTTCAAAGCCTGCAGCAGCAGCAGCAGCAGCAGCAGCAGCAGCAGCAGCAACAGCAACAGCAGCAGCGGCAGCTCTTGCGAGCTTCTGCGGCTTCGCTGAGTGCAGATGCCTCCCTGCTTATGTCATCTCCCGCTGCCAGCGATGACTCTAAGCTGAGAGAGTTGTCTGGGACCCGGGAATTGCGAAAGTCAGCAGCAGCAGCAGCAGCAGCAGCAGCAGCAACAGCTGCAGCTGAGGCAACAACAGCTGGCACTGTCGAAGTAGCGGCAGACGCCTGCAGAGCGTCTCGCTGCTGTGGTCGCAGCAGCAGCAGCAGCAGGGGCTATCTGAGGCAGCAAACAGCTGCAAACAGCCACACGGGCAGCAAGCAGCAGCCGCTGCCATCATTGCAGCACTTCCCTTCGAGCCCCATTCTTACCCAAGGCCGCAGCAACAGCAGCAACGACAACAACCACAGCAGCAAAAGTAGCAGCAGGAAGTGCAGCAATGGCAGCAATAGCAGCAGCAAACGCTTCAGCAGGAGCCACAGCAGCAGCAGCAGCCGCAGCAACAGCAAGAGCAACAAGGAAATGAAAACTCCTGTTTCTCCTAGCTCCTCAGCTGTGTGCGATGCCGGAAGAGCAGCTGCAGCAGCAGCAGAGGCTGTTGCCGCTGCTGCCTTCAACATTTCCCTCCGCCACCAGCAAAACAGCAAAAATGCTGCTGCTGCCGCTGCTGCTGCATCCGCTGCTGCGCACTCAATTGTAGAAGAAGAAAGCCTCTTTCGGCCCCCATTGCCTGAAGATCTTTTGTCTGCAAGAGTTCGGGCCATCTTGTCAACAGCATTTAAATCTAGCAGCCCGCGAGCACAGCAGCAGCAGCAGCAGCAGCAGCAGCAGCAGCAGCAGCAATGGGCAGTTGCTGCATCATTAGCAGCAGGGAAAAGAACAAAGAGTCGGCGGCAAATTTTTGAAAGATACGCAAAGCTTACAGCACCCCGAGCAGGTCTTGCTGCGGAGAGTCCATGGAAGCTTCTGCTGCAGCAAGTGCAACAGCAGCAGCAGCAGCCACAGCAACAGCAGCAGCAGGCTGAAGGGGAGCTGCTGCGGACCCATACGGTTTCTGAACGGAGAGGCCGCAATCACAGCCTTCCACCTTTCCCCTCAACACGGCGGGCAGCAGCCTCAGCGGCAACTTCTCCAGAACCGGAGCAGCAACAGCAGCAGCAGCAGCAGCAGCAGCAGCAGCAGCAGCAGCAGCAGCAGCAGCAGCAGCAGGCTCAGAGGAAGGATCGGAGGCGGCTCCCTGTTCGGGAACAGGCCAAAGGAAATGCCTTAGGCAAGGCCGATGGCCTGACTGGCCCTTTTGCAAATCAGCAGCTGCTTAGAAGATGCAGCAATCTCAGCAGGCATCATGAGCTCAATGCCTCTGCTGCTGCTGCTGCTGCTGCTGCTGCTGCTGCTGCTGCTGGATGCGACTCTTCGGGCGCCGCTGCATGCAGCAGGGATTCGACTGCTTCTACCGCTGCTGCTGACGACGAGCAGCAAAACTCAGCCCCATCTCTCTTCTCCAGGGATACACTCTGTGGCATTGCTTTTAGGCATTTTCCCATGTGGGAAGGGGACGGCGGGAGGGCAGCAGCAGCAACAGCAGCAGCAGCAGCGAGGCCCAGCATCTTTGAGTTTAGTGGCAGCGCAACGGCGCCTCTGCGTAAATACTTCAGCAACAACAACTACAGCGTAAGGTAGCGTAACTCAGTTACAGCTGCTGGTGCTAAATCTGCTGCTGCTGCTGCTGCTGCTGCTGTGCCTGCCGCCTGCTGCTTCGGCTCGATGTAGCACTAATTTGAGCCTCCCGCTGCTGCTGCCGGCTGCCTTGTCCATTTGCTGCAGCAGAAAGGCCACTTGTGTTTTTGCGGGTGCGAGAGGCCGCAGGTTGCGCAGGGAACTATATGGTCTGTTGCAGGGCAGCAGCAGCAGCAACAGCAGCAGCAGCCGCAGCTGCAGCAGCAGCGCAGGTCAGCCACTGCGGACTGGGTTAGCTACGGAAGGTCCACTGAGGCACAGCAGCAGCGCCGGAAGCAGCAAAGGCAACATCGGCACCAGCAGCGCGAGACAAGAAGGGAAGCAGCAGCAGCAGTAGCAGCAGCAGCAGCAGCTCGGCGACTGCCCCGAAGTCCGCTAACCCTAGGCAGGGAGCCACACAGGCACAGCGCGGGACATTGGAGTTCCTGGGATGCAGACGCAGCAGCAGCAGCAGCAGCAGCAGCAGCAGCAACAGCGGCAGCTTCAGAAAGAGAAACGGCCTCCTGCGTGGACAGCGTGCGCAGCTACGGGTTTTCTGAGAGGAGTTCAGGATCCTTTTCTCTGGACCAAGACAGAAGCAGCTGCAGAAGCAGAGAAAGAAAAGAAGAAATTTCGAAAAGTTTCGACAAAAGAGAAAACTGCTGCAGCAGCAGAAAAGGCCAAGACAGCTGCTGCATCTCCAGGCTCTCCTGCGCTGACCCCGGCCGCCACAGGCGCAGCAGCAGCCCCCTGCGGCTGCTGTTCAAAACGGAAGCAGCGCAGCGCAGCAGAAGGAAGTTTAGAGAAAAGAAAAGAGATTGGGGGCCAGAAGAAGAAGCTTCAGCAGCAGCTGAGCCCCTTGATGCTGCAGCAGAAGCAGCGCCTGCATGCGACTCGCAGCAGTGCTGCTCAGAGCTCACCAGCAACTCCGCAGCGCCGCCTGCAGCAGACGAAGCACAGCCTCAAGCACCTGCTGCTGCTGCTGCTGCTGCTGCGGAGGCTGCTGAAGAGCGCTCAAGAGTAACAGACACAGAAGAGGAGGCCTCAGCAGCAATATCGGAGCAGCCGCCACTTCGGTACACCCACCAAGGGCGGGAACGCCGCGAGCACGAGGAAGAGGTTGCTGCTGCTGCTGCTGCTGCTGCTGCTGCACATATGTATCCGTTGGAGCATGCGGCAGAAAGGACTGAGCGGCAAGAATTTTACTTCAGGAGTAACAGTCGCGGCAGCAGCAACAGCTGCTGCAGCAGTTGCTGCAGCAGCTGCAGCAGGAGCAGGCTTCCTCCCTCGCCGGACCAGTACGAAGCTTCGGAGCAGCAGGAACATCCGCAGCTGACAGATGTGTCTGTTGCAGCGACAGCCTCCGTTTGGGAAGATAGCCCATGCAGTCGAGTGCAGCAGCAGCAGCAGCAGCAGCAGCAGCAGCAGCACCGACGACAAAAGACTCAGCGGCAGCACCGAGAGTGGGTGCTGGAGCATCGGTGGCGGGACCAGCAGCAGTGGCTGCAGCAGCATGAGCAGCAGCAGCACCAGCAGCAGGAGCAGCTTCAGTGCGCCTCTTCGTATGTTTCCTCCCAGCGCACAGCCACCTCTGTGTCTGACGCTTCTGCTGCTCCCCCAGCTCAGCAGCAGCAGCAACAGCAGCTGCTGCTTCCGCGGGCCAGGCGGGGGCACAGCAGCGGCCGGCAGGGGAGTGGCCGTGCTGCTGCTCTGCAGCAGCAAGAAACATTTGTACACATAGAAGACCAGTGGCTTCCAGGGCCTGCTGCTGCTGCTTTTTTCGGGAGTTGTTCTGAAGCTGCGCTGTCGCCCAGCAGCTGCGGGCCCCGCAGCCCTCAAGAAGCTGCTGCAGGCTGGGAAGCTCGCAGCAACTCTGCTGCAACAGAAACCATTGCTGCAGCACAGGAAGCAGCGGAAGGCAGTTCTTGCTCTGAAGCTGCTTCATTTCTTCCGGAGCCTTTGCCCGAAGCTGCCTGGGAAAAGCGGGAGAAGAAGCGCAGTTCACGTAGGCGGGCAGCTGCTGCTGCTGCTGCTGAGCCCCCAGAAGCAGCAGCAGCGGCCACAGCAGCAGCAGCAGCAGCACAGCTTTCCACTCTCGTGAGAGAGATCCTCCGCATGCGCCAGATTCAAGTCTCAAGGCACACTGGTGACGCGTGGCAGCAGATGCAGCAGCAGCAGCAGCAGCAGAGGCAGCAGCATGTCCGCCACAAGGCGCACCTGCCTCTGTGGCATTCGCATCAGCGCATCTCGCGCGTGCGGCCTTCAGCTCTGAGGCAGCAGCTGCAGCACTTGCTGCAGCGAAAGCAGCAGCTCTTGCTGCAGCAAAAGCTGCAATGCGAGATACCAGTGGACACCCAAAGTGCTGCTCCTGCTTCGACAGCTCAGCAGCAGCCTGAAGAGCCCTATGAGCATCAGTCAGAGCTATTCACCGATGTAACACCAGCAGCAAGAGCAGCAGCAGAAGCAGCCGCAGCAGCGGTAGTTGCTGCTGCTGCTGCACAAACTGTTGCTGCATCAGAGCCAGCAGCAGAAGCTCCAGCTGCTCCGCGTGCTGCATCTTGTAACTCCGCTGGAGCCACAGCAGCCTCAGTAGCTGCAGCAGCGCAACAAGAAGCAGCAACTGCCTCCTCTTTGGTAGTGCCTTCCATTCCAGCAGAGCTTCCTGCTGAGTCTTCCCAGCAGCAGCAATTGCTCGCTGCTGCAACAGCCGATGCTGCTGCAGCCAATGCTGCTGCAGCAGCTGCTGCTGCGACTGATCCAGGTAAAGCAACAGAAACGGAAATTCGCAGTGAAGCAGCAGCACAAGACCAACAGAACACAGAAGTTCAAACAATGCAGGTGTCTGCTGCGTCGGAGGTTGCTGCTGCTGCTGTTGAGACGGCAGGAGAGCGCTGGAAAACGCCCATAGCAGCAAATGCAGCAGCAAAGCTGCCACACCGTGTAGTCCATTGGGAAGAGATAGTCTGCAGCGATTCGCAGCAGCAGCAGCAGCAGCAGCAGCCGACTAACTGTAGGGCAGCCGCAGAAAGAGCCCGCCAGGCTGCGAGGCTTGCTGTAGCAGCAAGCAGAAAGGCTATTGCAACCGCTTCAGCAGCAGCGAGAGCAGCAGCAGCCCCACCGTTACGCAGCAGCAGCAGCTGCAGCACCAGTGGTCCTGTGAGTCGCCCTCAACCCCTCTTGCCGAGGCGCGGCAGCGCTAAGCTGCCCCGTGTTGCTGCAGCAGCAGGTCTTGAAAAGCCAAGCAGCAGCTCTGGTGTAAGCAGCAGCACCAGCTGCAGCCACAGCCTGAGAGCCCAAAACACAGCAGCGCCACCTGCTTCGAATTCTGCCTCTGCTACAGAGAAGGGCATAGCTTCCGCCACTGCTGCAGCTGGTGCTGCTGCAGCTGCTGCAGCTGCTGCAGCTGCTGCAGCTGCTGCAGCAGCACCAGAGCAGGGTTTGGCTTGTGACCCAAATGGACAGGCCGGGAGGGAGGGGCCCTTACATTCTACAGTGCGCAGCAGCCCATTGCAAGATAGCCAGGGAACGGCCCTGCCTTCTCGAGGCAGCAGCAACAGCAGCAGCAAAGTCAGCAGCAGCAGCAAGCAGAGCCGCCGCCAACTGTCACAGACAGAGCTTGAGACAGAGAGCCTGGATGGGTGTTCGAACGCCTCGTTGCTGCTGCGCAGCAGCAACAGCAGCAACAGCAGCAACCAAGACTGGCCGCATGCATCTGCTGAGAGCCACTCCCGCCCTCGGCTGCTGCTGATGCAGCTGCGCCTGCTGCAGCAAGAAGAACAGAAGCGCGCAGCGGGACTGAACTACCTGCAGCAGAAGCAGCAGCAGCTGCAGCGGCTGGCACGCATTGAAACAACGAGGAAGGCCAAGGCAGAGGCTGTTGCTGCAGAAAAAATTCAAAGGCGCCTCGCCAGTAAGCACGCTTGCGGATGCAAACAACGCCAAGAGTTGCTGCTGCTGCTGCTGCCACGGCTGCTGCCGCTGCTGCATTTGTTTCAGATGCTGGGGCAGCAGCTGTGCATGCCGATGCAGCGAAAGTTGCAAGTCCAGAAGCAGCAAAGGTCGATATTTTGTAGGCTTTCTGTGCCCCGGTAGCAGTTGCTGCTGCTGCAGCAGCAAAAGGCTGCTTCCAATCCTGTCTGGAGGCAAGCTTAGGCCCCCAATGTTCCGTATCTGCAGCTCTCGACGCAATACAGCAGCAGCTGCTGCAGGGAGCCACACGAAGGTGCAACAGCACGTTGCTGCAGCAGCAAGTGCAACAACTGCAGCAGCAGAACAGGCAAAATCGGTTTATGCGCAGCCGAAGCAGCAACCAGCAGCAGCAGCAGCGCGAGGACGGCGGCATAATTCTACTGGAGTTCCACCCTGCCGTAAGTCCTTTATCCCCTCAAATTCAGTTCTTTGTCGCTTGCTGCGGTTGCTGCTGCTACGACTGTTGCTGTTGCTGCTGCTGCTGCTACTGCTGCTGCTCTCTGCCGTTGCGAACTGCGCGCATGTGAATCGATGCTGCATGCAGCACAACTCCGCATCATGGGCTGTTCAACAGGACAAAAAGCGAGCAGCAGACGAGCAGCGGCATGCAAAGGCAGCAGCATACGGCCGGCTGCTGCAGCAGCAGCAAGCGGCTCTAGGCCGGCTGGAGCGTCTGCAGCAAGAAGCAGCAGAGCAGTGCGGCTCCCCGCCTAAGACCTAGAGCAGACTTTGCTGGTGTTTCTGCTACTTTTACTGCTGCTGCTGCTGCTGCTGCTGCTGTTGCTGCGGCTGTTGAACAATTACGGGCAGCTGTTGTTGCTGCAGCCGCCTCACGCTCCGCAGCGACCGCTTGCGCCCATGCTGGAGCTGCTACTGCTGCTGCTGCTGCTGCTGCTGCGGTGCTGCTGCATGCGCAGGCTGGCCGCTGCTGCCGACGTCCAGGGGGTGAAGCTGACACATTGTGAGGCCTAACGATGCAGCTGCTGCAGCGCTTCAACAGGGGCTGCTGCTGCTGCTGCTGCGCGAAGCAGCAGCAGCAGCAGCAGCAGCAGCCCCTGCTGCGCTGCGCGAAGCAGCAGCAGCATGGGGCGCGCTGCTGCAGCAGCAGCAAATGTAGCTGGCGTTGCGACGCGTATTTGTTTGCACGAATAGACACTCTGAGACACTGCGCAAGAGTTCATTCGTGCTAGCTGCTGCCTAGGGCATGTGCCCCGGCAGCTGCAGCAAAAGCAGCAGCAGCAAAGGCTGCAGCTGCACGGGCAGCAGCAGCAGCAGCGGCTGCAGCTGCAAAGGCGCAGCAGATGCACCACAGAGAGCTGCTGCAGACGCACGAGCCGCTGCTGCTGGCGACTGTGCATCAGAAGCTGCTGCTGCAGTAGTGCAAAGTGAACACAATGTGCTGCGTTGAGCAGCCAATAACATTTGCTGCTGCTGCAGCTATTTGCTGCTGCTGCAGCTGCGACTCTGCACTCTCAACACAGTAGCCCAAGGCAAAATAACGTGCTGCTGCTGCAACTTGTGCTGCTGCTGCAACTTGTGCTGCAGCTGCTGTTCAAAGATAGGCAGCCATAGAGTGTGGGCTTGCACTTCTTGTGTGGCCCCAGCAGCAGGGGCGTCACCAGGCCCTTAAAATGTAGCTGCAGCAGCAGCTACAGCAGCAGCAGCAGCAGCAGCCGCAGCAGCAGCAGCGAAGCCGCTGCTTCTGCTCACAGCTTATTTTTTCATTTCATTTCACTGCCCTCTTGCTCCTGCGGTGCAGCCTTGAAGCGGGGCCCTGCAGCAGCAACTGGCGAGTTGCTGCTGCTTGCCCGGACGAACTCTTGCATGTCGGAAGCAGCAGCAGCAACAGCAGCAGAATCATCAAAAGAAACTGCTGCTGCTGCGTTGCGGCCACCGGCCTCCGCCATCGAGCCCAGGGGAAACAGGCCAGGCTTTGGGGCTGGCTTTCTCCTGGAGTGTATGTACAGGTAGACGCAGCTGACGACGAAAAAGACGAAATAGACCTGCAGCAGCAGCAGCAGCAGCAGCAGCACAGGCAAAGACTGCATGCAGCAACACGCAATGGCACTGCAGCAGCAGCAGCAGCAGCAGCAGCAGCAGCAGCAAGGCTTACACCTGCGCAGATGTAGGGGGCCAAATATTGCTTTTCCATAACACTTTTATCAAGTTCAATTGCGGGGGACTTCTGCTGCATCAGAGCCCCCAGAATGAGGAGAAAAAAGACTCCAAATGCTGACAAGAGGGAGCAGCAGGTTGCGCAGCAAGGCCAGCTGCACGCCATCTTCCTTGCTGCTGCTTCCCGCGCAGTTCCTGCTGCTGCTGCTGCTGCTGCTGCTCTCCTAAAGGGCCGCCGCGCTACAGCGCCTGCGAAGCGGCTGCTGCTGATGCCCCGTGGCACTGCAGCAGGCGGTGCTGCAGCGGCTGCGAGGCAGAAGCAAAAGCTGCTGCTGCTGCTCCAGGCGCTTCCGGTGCTGCCTCTGCTGCAGCAAAGGCCGGCCTGCACCCTCTGTTGCAGCTGGAGTGTATCTACAGCTCGGAAGTGCTGTCGGAAACGCTGCAGCGGACGAGTGCGTCGGGAGACTAGGTCACCTTCTGCCGCTGCTGCTGCTGCTGCTGCTGCTGCCGCTGCTGCTGCTGCTGCAGTCGTTGAGGCTTCGGAAATTCAGCAAAGTGTGCCGTCTAGAGCCTCCAAAGCGGATGCGTGCAGCCGCTGAACTTGTGCGCGAGGAGCTGCTGCAGCCCCCGTTGGCTTCCTCCAAGTGTTATTTCAAAGCCCCATATAATAAAGAGGGAATGAGAATGCAAATAAACTGAAAGTGCAGCCAGCAGGCGCTAGAGCATCGCTTTCTAGCCGGCGAAACTCAGTGGTCCGGGCCGAGCGCGACGGGCTCTGCTGGCTTTTTGGAAGCTCTTTTCCCTATTAAAGGCTTTCTCATGAATTCAAAACTGCTTTTTATTTGCTGCTTCGAAAGGTAGCTACTCCGCTTCTCTAGCTGCTGCTGCTGCGATACTCCCTGCAAAACCGGGGCTTGTGCTCCTGCAGCAGTTGGCTTCTTGCTGCGCGTTGTTTTGGGCCTTTTATTAACGCACAGGATTATAACATTTATGCAGAATTAATATTCCGGGATATTTAAAGACAATCGAGTAGAAATGCCCATGTTACCTCCCCTGCTCTGGGCATGATCCAACACGTGTGAGCAGCTGTGCAGCTGTGGGGTACCTAGTGGATATTAAACGAATTTCAACTAAAGTTGCATTCTTAACTAAGGTATAAATAGCTCACTATCTCTTATATAGTCTTCTTAGGTCTATCTGTGGGTATGTTTTGCTGCGCCTAGGGCATGTGGGTACTTAGGTACTTAGCCAGTGCATGTGAAGCTTTTGGCTGAATATTCGCTTTTTTAACCAGGGAAGTTTTTTCTAGCAATTCATCTTAAAGTATTGCTTCTAAACACTCAATAAGCTTTCTCCCGAGCAATTTTGGCTGCCCAAATCCCTTAAACGGGAGCTCGTGGCTGTATTGTAAGGATAGTACATTGTGGCTTTCATGGCTAGCTATGAAACTGCGCATACTTTCCCGCACTTGAGTAGATTCAGCATCCCGTTGATGTCCGTAGCGGCTGCAGATAAGGAGGCAGCAGTTCTTTGCCCACTCTAGTTAGTGACTGTGGGAAAATGACTTCTTTCTGTTTCACTTTGCCCAGTTCGGTTCTCAATTGTGTAAAGGCGTAGACTGCGCTATTGTGGATATTGAAAAGTTTCCTCTAACAGCCTGCCTTGCCGCCTCTACTGGAGGTTCAACTCAAGCGCGGAGGCTGCAAATGGAAGAAAGCTTGACCTGCGTCATTCAACAAGAAGAGAGTGTTCTGCAAAAATGCCCGCAAAGGAAACTGAAGCCCTTCTGGCTCCAGCAAGGAAACCACAACCTTCCTGAGAGCCTTGGGCTTTTCGAAACAACGCTGGAGTCAAAGGCCAGCAGTGGCCCCTCTGCGCCTGTTCGCCACGGCGTTGCAGGCCACACGCCCGCTTTTGCGAATCTGCAGTGCCCCTGGAGTTGTGAAAAGCAAAACACATCATATTCATGGGGCTTCGTCTTCACTGAACTCCAGAGCCGGGCCGAGACAGCCGCCGGGCCTTCAAATGCCAGCTCTTGCAGTGCAGCAGCTTCGCCCGCGGCGGACGGCTATTGTTCCGCGCCGTGAGAAGACCTCGGCTTGGGCTCTCCCGTGGCCATTCCTTTGAACGTGGAGCGCCTTCTCGCTGGCCCGCCCCAAGAGGCTCCCGGGGCCTTCTCGAAGTCCGGCGGGGGGCGTTGGGGGGCTCTTGTTGGCCACCAGCCGCTCTCTTCAGGAAAAGAGAAAGGAAAGCCTTGGTAAGCTGGGGGAGTGGCGTCGTCTTGAGTTGACCAGCGAGTCTGCAAAGGAGCACCTCCAAGGGCTGCCAGCGACCCCGCTGGCCAGTCTAACAAAGAACTTCCTCCCCCCAAATGCAGCAAAAGCTCCTCGTCCGAAATTTCTTGAGGATACTGCGTCAGAATGGGCTGCTGCAGTTCTAAGTAAGGCTGAGAGGACAGCTCCTCAGGCCACCAGGCTTCGCCTCTGTGGCCCGCAGGGAAGGAGAGCCTTCCGGCGTCTCTCCCAAAGTCAGGGGGGGGCGAGAACGAGAAAGCACTTGGGAAAAAAGTGCCCTCAGAGGGAAAGTGTTGGGTGGGCTCCGGGCTGCGGCCGCCGGGGAAGAAAGACTCAGGAGGAATGAAGGGCGGAGGCGGAGAAAAGACGCCAGAAAGGTCAGATGGCGGAAACTGCCACGGGCTGTCCGCAGCTGCAGCAGCTGCAGCAGCTGCAGGGAAGGCAAAACGAGCTGCAGCACGGGGTGCGCTAGCTTGACTAGGCGGGAAGTAAGCAGCGGGGCCTGCAAGCCGGCCCGGCGGCATCTTCCGCGGTGAAGCGGGAGGCCCGGGGAACTGGGGCCGCTCGGAATACTGGCCTTCGACGGGTCCGGGAAATCCATGGCTGGATCGAGGGAGGTCCGACAAACTAATGGGGGGCCCCTCGGGAGCTCGAGAGCGAACGGGGGCCCCGGGAGCGCCAGGAAAGCCATACTGCTGCGGAGGAGCGCCAGGACCTGCAAAATCCGTACGGAGCGCCGCTGGCGGGAAAGCCTCGGGCTGCTGCTGGGCCACCCGAGCATCCGAAAGGAAAGGAAGAGAAGAAGCCCCAAGTTCAGCCAGGTCCCCACTGGAACTACGTTCCGTAGGAAACCCATATTGTCCGGGAGTGTGTGGGGGCTTACCCAGTTCCCCAACAGCTTTACCAACTTGCGGGGGAGGGTAAGCAGGAAGAGGTGGAAAGCCTGGAGGCGGGCGGCGCTGTGGGGCCTCAGGCGAGCTGCGCGTTTCGAAACGCGCACTGAGATCTTGGGCCTCCTCTCCTCGGGGAAGCTCTTCGCTCCTGGGTGCACGAGCTGCTCCAGGCCAGCCAGGTTGGCTCGAAGTGCCGGGGTGACCAGTGGACTCAGCGGCACTACTGGGGGCTGCTGGTGAAGAAGAAGCCTCACGATCCGCTGCTTTCGGTTCCTCCTGCGGCGAAGGAGGAGCAGGAGCAGCAGCTTTTCCGGGAGACTCCGAGGGGTCTGGTTCTTTGCAACGGCGCTCAGACTCTGACGGAGGACTCTGCTGTGAATCTGACAGCTTCGCATCTTCTGAGCTCATGGGGGACTCAGCCCCACTCGGGTGCTTGGGGGAGCTGCTGTCACTGGAGCCGGCATCATCAGGTGGGCTGGAAAGTTGAGTTTCCTGTGGAACTTCTGCGATCTTTGACTCTTCAGAAGGCTTTTTAAATCTAGGGGGCACAACGTAATGATCTTTAACAGGCGTACTACCTCGACGTGGTGCAGCCTCTGGACACTGCTTCTGAGCACTGGGGGCCGGGGCTTTAGTTTGTGTCCTTTTTCGTCTTTTGCTTTTCTCCTCTCTTGGCTTTGGCACTCCCCCTTTATATCCATATCCTGGCATGAGCAGCTGCATTGCCAGTGGGGAGCCCCTGATTTCGCCCAGCTGCTCTTTTTGACTCTTTGGAACTTGGTTAACAAGCGACTGCAGGTGAGGGTAGGCGGTGAGTCCGTAGTGACAGAACATCTTGTGCTGCAGTACCAGCCAAATGCCGAAAGTTCTCTCGCGAAGCACGTGGTTTCTGCGGAGGGATGCAGTCTTTTTAAAAATTTTGGCAAACTTCGGTGCTCCGAATGGAGAGCGCAACCACTCTTTGTTTTCACAAAGTTCCTCCATTGCATGGATGCCGTGCAACATTTGCTCAACCGCCATCTCTTGTACAGTCAAAATTTCTCGTAGCCTTTCCAAACGCTGGCGTAACGGGATGTTGGCAGGCTCCTTTTTTGGAATTCTCGTCAAGAGCTCCTTCAAGAACCTGAAGTGGCGGAATGTGGTGGCTGGAAGAGTTTTTCTAGAAAGGCGTTTTGTCGACTCGATTGCGGCATTCAAGATATCCTCAGCGGCAGTTTGTATGCCTTCTCGCTCTTCACCCTTTAGCAGGGTGGCCATGCAAGTCATCTCGACCACACACAAAATCAAAACGCCCCCTAGACCTTCCCGAAGAGCTTCCAAAGGAACCTGCTGGAACACTGGCACTGCGCGCTTTGCAAAGCCCACCAATTTCTCTATGTACGCCGAAGCCCTCAAAACCACTTCTTTCCTCTCATCATCCAGCTCCACTTCATCAGGATCAGGTTCCGGGTTACTGCCCTCCGCCCCAGCAGCAGCAGCAGCACCAGCAGCAGCTCCCGGGTCACTGCCTTCTGCCTCTGCAGCAACAGCTCCCGGGTCACTGCCTTCTGCCTCTGCAGCAGCAGCTCCCGGGTCACAGCCATCTGCCTCTGCATCAGAAGCCTCCAAGTTCCCGCCCTCCTCCCCCGCAGAAGCAGCAGCTTCTGTTGAGTTGCCGTCTGCTGCCTCTGCAGCAGCAGCTCCCGAGCCCCAGTCTTCCTCCTCTTCACAGGACCACAGAGCGCCTTCTTCTTCTTCCCCCGCATCCGCAAGTGATCTCAGCCCGCCAGATCCTTTTCGAGCCTTTAATTGAAGACCACAACGTAACACGAAGTAAGCTGCAGCAAGAGCAGCAAAAAGCGAAAGTGTCACAACAACCCCGCCGAGATGAGAACCCCGCTGGCGACCTCTGCGCCACAATAAGAACAAATGGTGTCTCGTGGGGGACTCTAAGTAGTGCACAGACTGCAGAGGAGCTGCATCCCCCAGTGCCTCCTCGCCAGTGAGGTGTAGAGAAGCCATGGGCGAGCTTCCGCTGCTGCAGTGCTGCTTGTGCGTCGGCCAAGCCAGCAAGCCAGTGTTTGCTGCGCCCTGAATCACAGATAGCTTGGCATGGGGCGCAGAAAGGGAAAGACGATGGCCAAATGCACAAAATAATGTCAAGAAAAGCTTCAGGCCTTTATCTTCGAGATCGCTCCGGCCTCGATCCCAACTGAAGATCCCTTTGAAGCCCACTCCACGAAATCTCTCGCTTTCAGAGGCACTGCAATATTAATTTTGATAGTCATTGACAAATCGGAGTCCACTTCTTAAGTAGAGGAACCCAGTTTGCAGACGGTGGCAAAATACAAAACCGCACAGTACTTGGGCGACGAAGACAAAAGCAACGCTTTCCGCGCCTCACTATGCTCTATATCCAGACTTCATGAAAGACATTCAAAACAGAAAATAACTGGGGCGCCTTCGAACTTTGTATCAGAGTCTAAATGCGCGCGAGGCAAGAAAAGATGCCGCCTGTGGCCGCAGAGCGTTAACTGGGTGTCCAGTAGTATTGCAGGGCTCCAATTTCATTGAACTTGTACGCTTCAATTCATTAAAAGAATTGCTTATGCGATTTGAAGCACGTAAGACAACTGGCAAGTTCAAGATCAGTCCATACTACGAAATTCAGACACCGATTGCGCAGAACCTCGACACAGTACTCGCGGGATGAAAGCGCTTGACACTTCGATCCCATACTACAAAAGCCCCGCTTTCTGTGTAGTTCAGTCCCCCAGGAAACTGGAATTTGGGATTATTCATTTGTTATTTAATACGAGGTTGGAATGGTAGTCGCTTGCTCTCTGGACCGTAGTTCTGGCGCGAAAGCCTACCATTCTGCGAGTTGGCGTCCCTTGAGGAGACAATAAATTTAATATTTTCCCCAAATAGTACTCTTTTACGTTGAATGGGCATTGAACAGAGTATGCAAAGTACCCCGTAGCACGAAAACTCCTTGGCCTTTGCTCCCCGTGAGGCTGGACTCCGCTGAACAACCTGGGTGACTCGATTCCCACGTTTTGGGGCTTTAAAGTGATATCATGTTTTCGCCGGATCTAAACACTTAGAGCTGCAAGCACATGTGCCTTGTTTTTTCCTTACGAAGTCTGGCTATTGGACTCTTCAGTAGTCGCTGTTCCGTAGTGAAACTCGCCGAGTTTCTTGTATCTCGCACCAGCTAGCTGGTGGTTTTCCGCACACTGAGACGGACAGTGCAAAGCTCCGCATTCAAAAAAGGTCGAAACATGCACACTAAACAAACTTAGCCCTCCCCCATAGCCCAACCCGCAGCTCATTTCAGCGCTTCTGCTCGCCGTACGGTTGCTGCTAGGAAACTAGGAACGACTCACTCTCTGAGTTGCTTCGTTTCCTGCAGAGTACTGCTTGACTTCTCTTCAAGGCACCTGTAGACCGGCTTTTTAACTTGGCAGGACAGCTGTCATAACTCGGTGCAGTGCTTAGCACTTCAGTCGCAGCACTGGTTGGGCATTCCCATGTGCAGCACGTGAAGCAATAAGTCAACAGGGCTATTTTTATCTTGTTTAGTGCAATTTTTCTGTGTTAGTACACGCTTTGCCAGCGGCAACACCCAGTTGCGTCTTTTGCCTCTAGCCGGTTGTCTTTTTTTCTGCAGTTTTTCCAGCAGTCGGCGCAGTGGCAAGGAATTCAAGGATGCGTCTCGCCCCGCAACAGCACCCTGTACTTCAGTATCATAGCTTTTACGCATCGAGGACTTCTCATCTGAGCAGCTTCAAATAAAGTAATGTCTAACTCCACTCTAAGTCGTCGAAACTATACGCAGCACAGGAATCAGCTGAGCATAGAGCTGTCACGCTGGCACTGAGCAACAGCCTCCGCTAAAAGCGCTTTGTAACAAGTTCCTAGTGGACGTCAAGGCCTCGCTCCTCTATAGAAGAACAATTGATGAGAAGAGGGAGCCTGGTATGAAGAAGAGCCTCAAGTGGCCAGCCAAATGGCAATTTCCCCCGCCCCTTTCAGAGTCATTCTGCTGTAAATCGGCAAGAGACGCATGACAAGTGCTGTGACGTGCCCGGGGAAGTTGAAAGAACATAGCGCTTCTGTAGAAAGCTCCCTCACTTGAGAATTCACTGTTTCTACTGGTGACTGGGATTCAATGGTACATTGGGTTTCTATAGGAAACCTGCTCCCTCAAGAATTTTCAGAGCACATGCCTCCCCTCCCTAATTCCTTCAAAAATTTGGGTTCGTAATGAGGTTGCTTTCCCTTTTCTGAATCTTTGCAGAAATGTTTTCCGCCAAAACCAATAAAGTCACATCTGGGCTGTTTAGGGCGTGAAAAATGTGTCTGATAGCTAACGCTGCGAGGAATAGATGCTTGGTCTTATCCCCCAAGACTGTAGCCTGATAGAAAAGTAAAGGCTGACTGAATATCATCTAGTGGTTAAGACGGCAGATGCCTTACTACTTGCAGTGTGGGCTTGCAGGAGAGTTGAGCTTATTAGCAAAGGGCCAATAACACGCCGCAGCTCAGCGTAAGGAACACAACAATGTCATGGGTGCCACTGCATACACCTCAAAATGGTTTTATTCTCCTTTCCACCGCAGAACAGCTCATATCGAAGTTTTATGGTTGCTTTCATCTCGCGGAACACTTAAACAAGGCTCGGGTTTATGCTTTCAAATGCCTTTTACATTTCACTGCAACACGGAAACTACAAATTGTTCTTCTGGGTGCATCTCAAAAGATAACAATCCTATCGTGATCTTCTCAAAGCACTAGAGTATGCGCGTAAGAAACAGCACTTCACAGGTATATTAACGCGGGGCTGTTATCATCCAGCTAGTATTGTATGTTTTATCAATCCTTTAGTATAATATCTGTGCCGCTGTAACCTTGTGCTTGTGATAAGATCTAGGCCCAAACAAGCAGCTTCAGAAATGCTACAAGTTGCGATTGCTTTCCTTACAGCCGTTTTGCACAGTGGCGTGAGCGGAGTGCGTAGGTGGGGACACACTGCCCTGTAGCCCACACCAACTACCCCACACACAGCAGTTACAAACAGTAAAGTAAACTAAACACTAATATAGAAGAGTTAAAAGAGCTAGAGAGGGCCATAACATCACAGAAACCTTTGCGCAACCTGCCAGTGTGGGCAGAGTCCCTGCAAAAGCGCTGCAGCCACAAACCGTGCAGCCGGTTTTGCAGTTCGCGGGTCCCAGTACCCGGCAGAGCTCTGTATTTCTAAATGTTTTCCAGATATATCGCATTATAACAAGCTAAATTCAAGCTGCATTGCCTTCTGAGGTCCCGTGTGCGTTTCGCTGAGGTGTGCAACACTGAACTACGTCTTTGATGGAACGTTCGTTAAGCGCCGCTTACTTGATTTGGGACACGAACCTCATGCCAGTTATACACAAAATTACATTAGCTGCGTATTTAGCCAATATTCTTGCATATTTCTAACACACATTATAGGAATGCGCATAGGGGGCCCAACAACACTGCAACATGAAGCGTGAAAGGACGCCAAAAGCTACGCGTAATTAGCACGCAAAGCGTCGAAATGGTTTTGAAATGTTTCCAGTTTGGTTTTTAATTGTATTTCACGTTTTTCTGGTGCTGCAGATTCGCCGCTGTAGTCCTGGAGAATGCTGCAGTTTTTAGCGGCCGCAGAACGCTGCGTGTGGTTGTGCCTTCGAATTCTCGCTTTTCTGGCGTGGGCATGGAATAAATCCTGTTTTAGTGCTGTTGAAGGATTGCAGGCGATGCTGTGTTTCAGCAAACCCTTGCAACGGGGATCCTGGAGTTTGCACGTAGGCGGAGTCCGTCCTTAGAAGCCAACGCATACGATTCTCACTGCAGAAAAGGCTATTTAATGACGCCTTATACCTTTTATTCTGCAGAAAAAATTGAGGGGAAGTTTCAGAGATGAAATTTGAAGACGTAAAATCGCAGAGTTGAATCCTTTTCCAAACAAACAACCCGGTCTCGAGCATGTGGGTGAGCGTTGTATCATCGTTGTAAATTGGGCAAATGTCTCAAAGAAGTGGCCCCAAAAGTGGCGATAGATGTAGAAATATGCATTAATTAGTATCGGCGTTCTCATAAATGCGTGGAAGAACGGCTCAATTCGTGCTACTTCGGTAAGAGCACTGCAGTTGGTCCGGCTGCATATCCTGTCTATGCTCGTGCCGCTCCAGAGTCCCTGTTTCCAGCCCATTATCCGTGTCCGACTTGTTTTTGAATTCGTCCCGTTGTCCATTAACTACAGAGAAGGGTATGGCGGGGAGTTTCCCAATTCCCTCACCGATGCTGAGGGAGCGTCACAGCGAGAGTCCGGGTGTTGGCTACGATACTGCACCAGATAGCAACAAGCCTCTGGGATTTGCAGCGGGAGAGCCTTTTAAACGGGACTCAGCGTCTCTCTTTAGGCAGAGGAGCCGGCAAAGGAACCGCCGCCTCTACTTCAGTCTTGCAGCTCAAGTGGCAGTGGCTCTTCTTGCCGTAGCCTACTTGGTGCTGCGTTGCAGCATTCAAATTGGATCACGAAATGGGCATTCTGCCGTCCACAGGTCTCTGTCAAGTTCTGAGTCGGAAGATGAGGATTTTCAGGACGCCTGTGAAGATATGGATGTGCCATCAACTTCAAGTGCTACGTTTTTTTCCACCGGTTCTGCTGAAAGAAGCCTCCTAATGCGGGCCGAGCGCTATGCAGGCAATCTGGCGGAATTTGTGAAACAAATGAGTCGCGTGGGTGTCAGTATTTACCCAGAACTGCGCCGCAGCCTGCTTGCTACCACGTTGGGTCTTGTAGTGGTAGAGCTAGGAGCCCTAGCGAGCTTGCTGGGACCCGAATTTTCAGCGGTCATTGTAGCTGCGGGCAGAATTTACACTGCAGCGCAGGAATTGCGCGCCACTTTTGGCCGGAAAATCCTCTCACACAATGCCTTGCGCCACCTCCGAAGAATGCGCCAGCTCTTGAAAAAATTGCAGGAAGTGGAAAAGGCTTCTCCCGACATGCCTCAGGAAGAGCTCTTCTCGCGTCTTGAGTCTTTGCTGGAATTGCAAGAAACAGCACTCGCGCATGTGTGGCTGGGACTGAAGAACCTGGCATCTTGTTCCTTCTCAGATCTTGGAGCTGACCACGAGGAAATACCGAATATTTTGGATGCCATAAAAAGGACTGTGATGGCCCGAAAAGCCCAAGTACTGCGACAACCCCTTTACAGAGGCTGGCTGATGGAGTTCCATGGACAAAGATGGCACTTCGGAGTCACGACCTACAAGAATATCGAGCGCTTCGTACAGGAAGGCCCCAGACCTCACAAAGAAGACATGGAAGACCTCCAAAGTACTGCACTGGGCAAATTGCATGCCAGGGAGGCTGCCATGTGGAAGGTGCAAGAGGCACTTCAGGTCTCAGGAATTGTCACTGGGGACCAGTCAGCTGCACAGGACTCCGACAGAGAAGCCGCTGCTTCCAGTGACGTCTCAGCGTCTTCTAGGGCCTCGACAACACCTGGCAGCTCCTCATCACGCAGCTCTCCCGTGGCTGAGCCTTCAGGCACTGAGCGGGGAGAAACGGATTCCCGCGAAAGTGCCGTATCGAGGTTGCAAGAGGCATTTGAACTTTCGTCGCTTGTCACTGGGAAACAGCCAGATTTGGGGGATTCGGACGAACAATTCGAAGATTCAAGCTCGCAAGAAGATTCTCCCGCGGAGTTTTACACGCCCACTGGCTCCCCAATGCCTGGCCACACGGAGGACGCTTTTGGCACCTCAGGGGCGGAGCGCTTTGCTGGCCTTCTGCGTGGAGATTTGGGGGATTCGGACGAACAATTCGAAGATTCAAGCTCGCAAGAAGATTCTCCCGCGGAGTTTTACACGCCCACTGGCTCCCCAATGCCTGGCCACACGGAGGACGCTTTTGGCACCTCAGGGGCGGAGCGCTTTGCTGGCCTTCTGCGTGGCCCCAGCTCCTCTGAGGCTTCCGCGGGACCCGAACTCTTCGGCCCCTTCACTACTTTCAGCTCGGAAGTTCACTCATCTTCCCGAAGAACCTCAGCTGGGTGGAGAGCCGTGGGGTCACTCTCAGTGCCTCCACCGCATGAGACAGGTGGAGCTTCTGCGTCATCTGAAACGCCCAGCTCTTTTGGTCCTCCTGAGACTCAAGAAGATGATGACTGGTGGTAGCCCCTGGCGCAGTTGGGTTTCGCTCTGGCTTTGGGCTTTTGCTTCTGTCGAAAAGCCTTCCAGCCATCCTTGCTGCAACAGGCAGTCAGTCATTCTTCAGCTACAGCTTTTCTTGTATGCACCTCTTCCACATCAGGACTGGAATTCAGTTCTGAAGTGAAAACGTGTTCTTGTGGGCCTTTCCACGGATCTCGCATAAGTGGAAAGTTGTTACTTCTTTGGCTAGTGACTTCCTTGTGACACACTTTGGGCAACTGTGGCTCCCAGTGTGGGGGCAAATTTGACCTTGTTATGGCCTATCTGGTTGTGAAGTTACTCTCTTCGAAGGGTCTGAGATACTCAACTATCCTTTTTAGGGGGAGGCAGGCCTTCTGGGGCTTGCTGCGCCCGTGCACGTTCATTCCGTGTAAGAGGTCGCTTCTTATCCGCGCTTTATGCAGGGCTATTTTGCATGCGGCTTATGGCGGGCTGAGATGTGTGTTGCTGATGAAGGCGCTCGCTGCGTGTCTTATATGGGTTCGCTTCTTCACACCACTACTAGCAAGCAAGTGGCCGGTGATTCTGAGGCCCAGAGAAATTTCAGAATAGATGCCCTGGGCCCCGCTTCCCCCAGCTGTTCATGGGGGGCTGGCTGTGCTTGACCGCCTGTGCATGAATTTCGACCAAGAAGCCGCTGCAGAGGCAGAAACACTGATTCTGGCAGTTGGTCGGAGGCCTTCTACGATTTTAATTCTGTTGCTGGTTTCAACTTTGAAAAAGGACCGGCGAATGGTCGCGGATGTTTCAGACGAGCCTCGCGGACTACGCAGGACTGAAAAGGGCTCTAAACTGCATATTTTATGTGGCTGTAGGTGGCTGGGCACCACCTGCAAATAAGCAGTCAATGAACGAGCCATGCGACGCTTTCCAGCCAACACTGAAGAACCCAGCTTGAAGTACAAGGGAATTAACTTAGGCGAGGTATGAGCACCCAAGTGCTTCTTCAGCTGTGGCAGGTGTTAAGATGGAACTGGAGGGACCTCAGTTGTCCGCTAGTCGCCTGTGGCCGTCTTCTTTTGATGCATTCCAATCAAGAATGTGTTGGAATCAGCACGGATGACCCTGGTGAAGATGGATGCGTGTAAACTTCAACTGCAGGCTACGAGGAAACAATCGAAGCCTGTAGCTGTTCCACTGAATCTTTGGATGCATTTCTAGACTTGTCAGCTTTTATCATGTAAAACGCAGACTTGATTTTATGGATCTGCATGCTTTTTAGTGGGCCATGAAATGCAATGGCGAATGCGGAAAAGCAGGAGCCAGTTCTCTTCCGGAAGTATATGGTTGCCGTCTGCGGCCAGTGGCCCACTGGCGATTCAGCTCTATTTTTTTCCTGCGAACTAGTTCTTCTGGGCGGCTGAGTCTGCACCATAGTGAAGCTGAGCCGACTCCGAATGAACGGAGAGAAGGGCCCCTCTCCAAGTTTAGCATGCCCATGCAAATTTCGCATGCTTCGTGGAGGATAAGATCGTTTTATTTCTTTCGGATGCTGTGTCGCTTTAAGAGGAAGCGACTCCCCTAGACTCATGCGCACACCAACTCATGAATAACTACTTCCGTGTGGACTAGTGCGTGCGAAGTAGAATTCGTCGGTAGAGGGTAGAAATATTAAAACAGTCTGATTATTTTAAAACATTATCCAGGTCATTTTATCCTCTTAACTTCGGATAAAACTATTTTAGTCCAGCTGGGAGGCGCGTAGAGATGAATATTCCGCCTGGTTATCGGCTCTGCAAATATGCTTGGTGCTTCTTTGAGTGTGGAGGCTGGTGAGAAAAGCTTGCGTTCGCTTTAGGTTGCTAACTTCATCAAAGCCTAAATTGGATAATCATTTCTTCCCTTAGACAGCCAAGAATACCGCGGGCATAATGCAAAATGCGGTCACTTCAACGCGTGCACCCGGCAGCATACCCACAAAATGAGCAGAAATCCAACAACAAAGAGAAATCTTGAGAGTGGCGGTTTACAGCTGCAAATGAAAGTATGTCCATCAAAAAGAAACAGGGCTTGAAGGCTTTCAGCTCGACAAGCTTGGGCTCCCCCGCGCGAGCACCTGGAGGATCACAAGCGGCCACCAGACGACGCCGTCGAGATTATACCTTACCTGTAAACTCGTTAGCCCTTGCAACAAGGACAAATTGTCACTTCTGAAGCGTTCAGCACATCAAAACGCGTCAGAACACAACCAAATGACAAATATTCAACTTCGCCAAAACACCGAAGTCAATGTGGTTACCAGGATAGCTACGAGATCCTCCATCCCCTCAGCCTTGCATAAAACTAGCATTCAGCTTCTCCTCACATTTCCTCCAGTTGAAATGAGAGGCAGTCCCCGTTTCAATCGCGAAGAAGATTCATCTTGGAGCTTCTGGGGGGTCGAGAGGGCCTCCACAAAAACGACTCCAAAGCTTTTGGTGCCTGCATTTTGTTCTTCTTGCGCTTGTTTCTTTTCTTCGTCATGTTTTCCTGCTCTCACATTCTTACATTGTGTTCACCTCTTTGACTTTATTCCTCTTGTTGAGTCTCTTAGACTACGGTCAGATACAGTGAGCAAATCCTGTGGATTTCTCTGAACTCTCCTCATAACGGGACTAGCCCAGAGCCCCCACTTGTTTTCATATCTGCGCCGTGTCTCCTTTTTTGCAGGAAACGGCTATTCCCTAGTGCCCTAATGCCCTGTCTTGAATAAATCAAGGAGGGGGGCGGGCACACTTCGACTTAAATCAAATGCTGCTGCATTTCGCTAGTTCAATCGGTACTTGGGTAAGGGTTCTCCTAGCGGCACCCCATGGAAGGGTCGATTCGGCTCGCGACGCCCAGGGGCTCTTTCCCACAGCCCAGCAGCCGGATGTGCTTGTCTTGACTCCGCAGCTCCTCTTAAAGCCTCATGAGAGGAATAAGCCTCATGTTTGAGTGCTGGAGTTCCTCCGGCCTGCATTGGGTGACTCAACTGATGCAGAAGGCCGCTAAATGCACCATAAGTGACTTCAGCCGCCGCTTGAATCGGTGGTCTTTCAGATGGAACCTGTGGCAAATGACTTCCAGCACCCGTCATGTGCATGAGGTGTTGGCCAGGGAAAGGCTGCTGCTGCCTTGGCTCCAAGCGATGTTGCTTCATGAGATCAGCTCGCGGAGAAGAATACTGCGCATCTAGCGGCAGTCGCATTACTGGGTATTGAGCTGGAGGGTTACTGGGAAGCCTCCAGGTGTACTGCGCCGCCCCCAAAGCCGTGGAAGGCTTACCGGGGGCTGGAGCCCCAACAAACCAAGTTTTTTCGGGGCTTCCAGACTGCCCAAAGACGAAAGACTTGTCGGAAAATTCGGCCGCACCAGGCGCTGCGAAGGGCCTGGTGTATCTGGGAAGTCCATAGGGGCTTAACAGCGAAGAAGCGCTCTGTAGTAAGGCTGCTCCTTGGGAAACAGCTTGCTGCAGGGTTCGAGTAGCTTCAAATTGCTTAATTGCCTCTGTCAAAACGGAAAATGCAGGTCGCTGCGGAAGCGAGACATGCGCAGTTTCCACATAGTCACTTCGAGCCTTAGGCTCCTCTGATATCCTATATGAGGAATCATCCGCAAGAGGGAGTCCAGAGGCCCTGAGGGAATTGTAAGTTACTGCTGGCACTGCAGCCTGGCCCGAGCCTGCATATAAATGCTCATAGTGAGCCTCATTACCAAACTTATCTACCGTCAGGAAATCTTCCTCCAGGCCAAAGCCATATGCATCATCAGCAAGCTCATCTGCCTCCAAGTACTCGTCCGCAACTTTAAAGCCATATGCCTCATGAGAAGGATCATCTGCCTTCGGGTAATAGGCCTCAGATCCTAAGCCATATGCCTTTTGAGAAACATCATCTGCCTTCGGGTAATAGGCCTCAGCTCCTAAGCCATATGCCTTTTGAGAAACATTATCTGCCTTCGGATAATAGGCCTCAGCTCCTAAGCCATATGCCTTTTGAGAAACATTATCTGCCTTCGGATAATAGGCCTCAGCTCCTATGCCATATGCCTTTTGAGAAACATTATCTGACTTCGGATAATAGGCCTCAGCTCCTATGCCATATGCCTTTTGAGAAACATTATCTGCCTTCGGGTAATAGGCCTCAGCTCCTATGCCATATGCCTTTTGAGAAACATTATCTGCCTTCGGATAATAGGCCTCAGCTCCTAAGCCACATGCCTTTTGAGAAGGATCATCTGCCTTCGGATAATAGGCCTCAGCTCCAAAGCCATATGCCTCTTGAGGAACATTATCTGCCTTGGGGTTATAGGCCTCAGCTCCAAAGCCATATGCTTCTTGAGGAACATTATCTGCCTTCGGGTTATAGGCCTCAGCTCCAAAGCCATATGCCTCTTGAGGAACATTATCTGCCTTCGGGTTATAGGCCTCATCTCCTAAGCCATATGCCTCAAGAGAAGGACCATCTGCATTCGGGTAATATGCCAATGAGCCATATGCCTCACTGGCAAACTCATCTGCCTTCGGGTAAGCTTCCACAGCTCCAAAGTCATCTGCCTTATCAGCAAGCTGATCTACCTTCGGGTAACTGTCCACAGCTCCAAAGCCAAATGTCTCATGAGAAGGATTAACTGCCTTCAGGGAATCGGCCTCAGCTCCAAAGTCATATTGTTCATGAGAGAGATAACCTGCCTTCGAAGAATCGGCCTCGGCTCCAAAGCCATCTGAACAATCAGAAAGCTCATCTGCCTTCGGGGATTCGTTCTCAGTTGCAAAGCCATATGTCTCATCAGGAGGCTCATTTGCCTTCGGGGAGTTGTCCTCAACTGCTAAATCATATGAATCATCAGAAGGCTTCTTTGCCTCAAGGGAATCGCCCTCAGTTCCCAAGTCCTCTGAAGCCTTCAGCAAAACCGCAGAGTCTGCAGACTCTACTGCAGGCTCTGCACTGTTCTCTAAAGAAAGACTCTCTAGATTGCCCTGCAGGGCGCCCGAAGCCTCGCTCTGCTCTTGACTTAAACGCAAACCAAGAGGCGTGCTTGCGAGCTCGGCCAATAGCACATGATGTTGTTCCAAAGGACGCGCAAGAGCCCTTTGGATTTGCCAGAAGGCACAAAGTCCGAAGCGCACTCGTTCTGTGTGTTGCTCCCGCAAGAAGTGATTTAAAGCAGGGTCTCGAAGCAACTGAAATCTACGAACGATCATTGTCTGCCGCATGTCTTGCAAGATTTCGTCGGCCAATTCATCTGGAATGAGCCCATTGAATGCAGGTTTAAGGGCAGTCAGTTGCTTCATGCCTTGCAGCATTTGCTCCAGAACACTTTCCTGCAGCTCAAGGAGCTCCTCGAGCTTTCTGAGCAATTCAGTTGGAGAAATATCCCCCCCGGCCCACTTAATACCTGGAAGTGCCTCTAAGAAGAGCCGCAACTGCCGAAGGTGCCGCAAGCCGCAAAGGGATATTTGTTTCTTTGTGAAAGTTCGGCGCAAAGTGTCGTATAACAAATCTAGGCTATCTAAAACAGCTTTTATTCCATGCCGCTGTTCAACTTTCAGCAAGGTTGCCTGGGCAGATAGTTCCACGACAGCCAAAGCCAAAATGATACTCATTCCTTCCCGGCGCATTGAAGTGGACACTTTTTGCAGCGCCAACATAAAGTTTTCAAAGAAACGTTTCAAACCATAAGTGAAAAGCACGGCGCGCTCGCGGAGCTCCTCCCCATCAAGAGCTGCGTCTTGTGCCACATCATCTGCGAACTCGCCGCTCTCCCCGCCTCCACAAACTCCTCCAAGTTCTCCCTGTGCCCTCGCAGCAGCTGCAAGTGACCTCGTTGCGTTTCGAACGCCATTCTGGATCTCTGTGTGAGGTCTGCAGCGCAGCACCAAGTAAGCTGCTGCAGCAATCGCCAGCAGCGTGAGGGTCACCAGGGTCGGACAGCGGCGAAGGCCCGCCTGGTGTCTACGACGGACAAACAAAAAGCCAGAATACCCCTCTTGGTCCTTCAGAGCTTCCGCCCCGAGCTGCAGTTTCGGATATTTCGGCGAAGTCACAGGGATGAGGCGCAGGTGAGGGGTCTCGCCTCTCTGGCTGAGCGTCTCAATGCAAACGGAGGCCGTCTTCGCTAAACTATGCATTGCAGCTGATGGGCTTTTGGCCCCAAGGCAATGCAGAAAAGATCTAACAGTCAAACTAGGGTTCCCTCTACGGAGTAGCAGCGACAGGAAGTGCCCACGGCCAGTCTGTCCCGGCGCCGAATAAGGCGCACTGCACAGTGAATATTTTTGCTCCAAGAGACTAAGCCATCTCTTGAAACATTCAGATGCGGCCTGGCAGATCCCGAGGATAAGACTCGACACTGCAAGACGTGCAGACACAGACGCAGGCGAAACCTGGTCTACTGGGCCCCAACAGTCGCCATCTTCGGCCCGTTTTGATCATTTTACAATGGAAAAGTTAAATTATTTCAAATGTTTATAAGCAGAAGACACGCTCCCGCTTCGCACAACTCTGGGCTTCCATTTGGCAGCTCGATGATCAGCTGTTCGCTGAGACTGTGGGACCCCCCAGCACGCCAGAGAGTAGGAAAACCAGAGGATCTTTTGCCCGTTCAAAAGATGATTTTTGCATGCAATTTAAAGCATGAGGAGACAGCTGCTGCCTCGGAGGGTGGTGTTTATTGGGGGGGCTCGAACGCCCATTGGCGGTTTCCTGGGATCCTTGAGAGCCACGCCTCCCAGCAAACTCGCCGCTGCAGCAGCAGCTTCTGCCATTAAACGCTCTGGGCTTTCCCCTGCAGAAATTCAACAATGTGTAGTAGGCCAGGTGCTCGCTGCGGGGCAAGGAAGAGCCTCCCACAGGCTGGCGATGAGTCTTGCGGGTATGGGGCGGTTTGCACACTGAGCAGATCTTTTCCTTTTCTGCCTGTTTTTTCGGCATTAAGTGGCTTTTTTCTCTCAGTTCAAAAATATGGGGCTCTGTTACGCCTTTTTTCTTGAATATTCCCCCAGTTCCTCCCCGTGTTCTCGTAATTTTAGCTTTTGTGATCTGCATCCGTGTGTAAGCTGGAGTTCCCGCCTAACTGGGGATTCTTCGCACATCTGTGGCCCCAGCTGTGGGTGGCGCAGCAGCGCAGTGGCCTGGCAGCTGCGCTGAAGAAGTTGCAAGGCGGGTGCAGCAGCAGCACCGTCAGCAGCGCATTTGGCACTCCAGCCCCCCATAAATTCCTTTTAAAATCAACTCCATCATCAGCAGCAGCAAAACATTGTCCTTAGACTGCATTTAAAGAGTCTCAGCCCCCGTTTCACCGCTGCCTGGCCGCATTCATGTTGCTGCTGCTTCAGGTCTTCCTCCCACGGCCTCCGTCTTCGCCGTGAACAGCGGCTGCGCCTCTGGCCTCAAGGCTATTTCTTTGGCCGCTTCTTCGGTGGCTCTGGGCGAGTTCCCTCTGTCGCTGGCTGTGGGTGTGGAGTCTGTGAGCTGTGCGCCGCACCTTTTGCTGTAAGTCCTCCTCGGGCTTTCTAAAATTCTGCCGAGTCTTAATTATTTGAAGCATTTGGTTAATTTTAGCTCCATTTTGTAAAGCATTTAAAGAACTTTTATTAGCTAATATACTACACGCAAAAGGAGTTTCTTTTTTTCCATTTTTAAATCCAAAAGAACCGCTTTCAAGTCCTTAAGTGCCTGCGGGTGTCAGTGCGGCTCCTAAGACTCAAGGGAAAAAAGTCGAAAGAGTCCCGAGCCTGCTGCGCGGTTGCAGTGGCGGCTGCAGCAAAAAGAGGCTGCTGCGTGCTGCTGCTGCTGCTGCTGCTGCTCAACAGGAAAGCAAGAGAAGGCGGCTACGGGCTGGGGGACGGAGCTCTCGTGGACTCAGTCGTTTTTGACGCTCTCAACGGCCCCAATTTTCAACTAATACCCGGCGAAGTAAAGACTGCCATTTATGCCACGAGATTCCCTCTATGCTGCCACTAATGGCTTCCTGTAGCCCGCACTCTGTCTCATTTCGCCGTTTTTTGGGATGTGGCTGCAGCTCTGAGTTGCACGGAGCAGTGCCTGTTCTTCTGTGCTAATATGGTCTAATATGTCTGAACTTTTTGTCTTTTTTCCTCAAAAAGTCTTTATTTTTTCTGAATTTGATGTTTCATTCGGCTTTGCGCGCGTTCAGGAAGCAGAAGCCGCCGCTGTGGCCCACGGCATTTCGCGGGCTGACTGCGACGAATACGCAGTAAGGAGTTTCAAGCGGGCGGCCGACGCTGCCAGCAAAGGCTTTTTCGGGCTGGAGGGGCTGGAGCCGCTGGCTGCTGCTGCTGCGGGTGCGTGGCTGCTGCTGCTGCGGGTGCGTGGCTGCTGCTGGGGCGCTGGGGAGCAGCAAAAGTGGCAGATCTGTGCACTGAAAGTGGCTGCATGCAGCCAGGAAGCAGGGGGCAGCGGGCAGCGGGAAATACAGCTTTTGGGGGCAGGAGGATGTCGGGGGTTGCTGCAGCAAAAGCACCCCGTGCTGCTGTAGAAGCGGCTTCTGGGGAGCACGCATGCAGCTGCGCAGTCAGTAGAGATGCTGCAGCACGAACTTTAGCTAGAGTTCAGGATTAGGAGAATAGGAAAGGCATTTCATTTCCGTCATCTCTTGCTGCCTAAGGTGGTGCTGCAGCGCCCGCTGCCCACGGCATGGGCTCTTCAATATTCGACCCTCAAGAGCAGCAGCAGCTGCTGCAGCGCCGCGCTTCTGCGCACTCCAGCGGCCGCCAGCAGCTGCTGCAGCAGCGGCAGCGGCAGCAGCAGCAGCAGACGCGGGAGCTGCTGCAGCACGACGAAGAAGTGAGGCGAATCTCTCTGGACCGCGTGGCCTCAGCCCGCCCCGTCTTCCGCAGCGACGGAGTCTTGACTGCAGCAAACTCTTGCAAGTTGGGCGACGGGGCAGCAGCTTTGGTGTTGGGCGAAGAAGGAGAAGCAAGAAAAAGAGGCCTGAGGCCTCTAGCCCGGTGAGACTCGGAGGACCACTGGACCTCGCAGCTTCTTTCGGTGCCTTTTGCTCACTTCAAGAGCTTCCTCTGGCTTCCAGGCACCACATTCCCGCTTGCTGCATCCGAGAAGCTGCTGCTTTAGCTGCTGCTGCTGCTGCTGCTGCTGCGGCTGCTGCTGCGGCTGCTGCTGCAGCAGGGCACGGCAGTGGCTGCGCAGCAGCTAGTCTCACTACGTGCGCTGTGGAATGCGCAGAGTCTTGTCTTTTGCTGACGCGGGAGGAGGAGAAGATGGGGCCCCTTTCACATTACCTTCTGAAGTTGCAATCCTTAGAGCTCTCCGTCTGGCAGGACTGGAACGGGCAAGAGAGTTTTTGCTGCCTCTTGCTGCTGCTGCTGCTGCTGCTGCTGCACTCGTCTTGCTGCCTGCTGCAGAATGCTGTGGCTCTTCCGACTATTGACGTGCTGATTTGCTGCTGTTTCGCTGCGCAAACATCCGGCAATTTCGCCTCTGCTTCCCTTACCCGCTGCGATCTTATAATTCTTTTATCATTTGTCACTTATTTCGTCTTTATCATTTGTCACTTATTTTGCATTTATTGAGGAAAATGTAGAAAGGTTGTTTTTTCTTTTGCCTAATTGCCGGACTTTCCGTTTGCTGTGTGCACCTGCGTGGGCGCTTTTCGCGTGTGTTGAGTTTGTGCAATTCTGAACTTCCGCAGAAGACCCTGAGATCGTAAGACCCCGAGGACTTCATTTAAATTTGCTTTTCTTTTCTTTTTATGCATTTCTTGGCAGGTGGACTTGTACGAAATTCACGAAGCCTTTGCTGCTTTGCCGCTGCTGCTGATGCGCCGGCTGGACATTTGTGCTTCCCGCGTGAATGTGCACGGGGGAGCGATAAGCCTGGGCCACCCGTTTGGTGAGTTTTCGGGAACTTTCTTTTTGCTGCTAAGTCCCGCAGCTCGAAATGTCTTTTTTAATTGCCTTTTTTAACTATTTCTTTTTCTTTTCAGGCATGTCTGGAGTGCGGATGGTGCTCTCGCTAGCTGCTGCGCTGCGCGCCCGAGACCTGACCTTCGGCTGCGCCGTTGCATGCAACGGCGCCGACTCCGCCACAGCTTTGGTGCTGGAGGCTCTTTAAATATTCCGCAGCCTTTCCGCAGCTTTGCTGCAGCTCCAGAGTGCACAGAGCTGCCAGCTTTCCAGCTTTTTCGGGGCCTCTTTGCCTCCTCTGGAGGGGCCAGCAGCGGCCCCGCAGGCAGCCATTTGGGCTTCTTCGGGGCCCGATTTCAACACAGACTTTTGCCTTTGTAATTCACTTTATTCCGATAAGGCGGGAAGAACTTTTGAGGCTTTTGGCAGCTCAAAAAGCTCCAAAGTTGCAGCTTTTCACCGCTGCTCCTTCTGCCGCTTCAATGATTTGACTCAACATCCCCCGGAAGCAGTTTCTTGACTTCTCCATTTTTGAATATCTTTTCATCTCATTCCGCATGGCTATTTGACGTTATATTTCCTATTGGGTTATCGCATCAACAAAGCATTTTCAAACTCTTTCTTCTAATCTCTTTCTGTTTTTGAACATCTTCGTCTTCTACTACTACTAGCAGCCAGCGGCACAAGTGCTCTTGATCAACTAAGTCTTTTTCCAGTTGTTTCTGTTTCCCCTCTCTCGTTGTCTTGTCTTAAAAAGATTATTTTTGCATGCATTTGCACTATTTAAAGGCATTTTAGAGCTTCGGCTGAGCAGAAGGCTCTGCTGAGCTCCAGAATTTCCTCATTTTCGCGGGAAAGTTCTTGAAAATTTGCTGTGGGATAGTGGCAGGCATTCAGTTGTTTCTTTTCGGCCGGCTTGGGTTATTTTTGAATTTTAAAGCCAATTTAATGACTCCGAGACGCGTAGAGGGGCTGCAATTGGGAGACTCTTGGCCAATTTGCAAAAGCCACTTCAGCAGCAGAACAGCGCTGCAGCAGCAGCAGTTGCAGCAAATATGGGAAAGCGCTTCGCTGAGCGGGTTGCTGCCCCGCACAAGCCGTTTTTCTCTGCAAATTCTGGGGAAAATAATTTATTTAATGATTTAGGAGCATTTAATTGATTGGTTAGACCCCAGTTCACTTGAACTTGCTTCCAGTTGCCGCAGCGCCGGCTGCACTCAGCTTAGCCGAGGCTGCCAAGCCAATTATTTGGTGCTTTCGCCTCCCAGGAGGCCACTTAAGGTTTTCTGAAGCTAAATAGATTTAACCTATTCATGTCAGTGGGTGAAAAAGCCCACAGAATGCCCCTAGGGGTCCAGTGGGGGCCCCAGGAGTCCTGGGGGTTCCCCTGGGGCACTGAGAGGATTGGGGCCCCTGGGGGGCCCCTGGGGCCCTCAGTGTTGCCGGCTGAGGTGGGCTGCGGTAGTTACTTGCTGCTCGTGCTGCTGCTGCAGGCTGCTGCTGCTGCAGCTGCTGCTTTTTCTGCTGCTGCAGGCTGCTGCCGCTGCAGCTGCTGCTTTTCCTGCTGCCGATGCGTGTTTTAGGGTTTCGCTTGGCCGTGAGCAGCAGCAGAGCCCCCACAACTGTCTCATCTCTGCTGCTGCGGCTGCTGCTGCTGCTGCTGCGGCTGCTGCTGCTGCTGCAACAGAGCAGGGCCCTTATGGCTGCGCTGTAAGCGCTTAAGGCTCTTCTGCTACTGCTGCGGGTCCTCAGCTGCTGCGCTGCAGCTGTTGCTGCTGCAGCAGAGAGAAAAGCCTTTATTATCTTTAAATTACTAGGCCTCTTTCTGTGCTGCACTAAGTGCTGCTTAAGAGCCACTAAGTGCTGCTGTGGGGCCCTCGAGGGCCCCCAAGAGGGCCCTTAGGGGGCCCCCAGGGGGCCCCAAGAGGGCCCTTAGGGGGCCCCCAGGGGGCCCCAAGAGGGCCCTTAG